AAATTATTTAAACAATTTTTTTTTTTTTTCTTCTCATTTGTTAAACATTTGTAAAATAGTAATAGTTAAAATTTGTAATATAAAAAGTAAAATATATTCTTTCTTTTCTTTTCTTTTTTATTTTTTTTATTTTTTTTATAACCTAAAAATTCAAAAAAAAAATTTCAATTAGACTAACTTTTTTTTTTTAAATTTCCAAAAAATAATTTTAGATTAAACAACTCGATTAAAATTTATAAATAATTAATTAATAATAAACTACATAAATAAAAATGAATACATTATCATCACCACTTCAATTCCCATTTGACCCAGTTAGAGGTTTTAATCCAATAACAACTTCATATAACAATAATAATAATAATAATAATAATAATAATTTTAATAATAATAATAATAAACAAAGTTTATTTAATTTTAAAAATAATGATAATGATGATTTTCAAATTTCAAGAAAATTGGTCCCACCACCATCACTTTCAATTGATTTCCTTTTAAATAATAATAACAACAATGACAACAATAATAAAAATAATTCAAATGAAGTTGTTAATTTTAATAAAAAAGAAATAATAATAACAATAACAATAGTTTCATTTTAAATAATAGATATTCACCATACTCAAAGAAAATTCAAACCAGTCAATTATTAAATACCAAAGTTGAAAATAATAATAATAATTTTGATAATTCATCATTTTCAGCTCTTGCTACACTTGCTTCATCTTCTACCAATACAACACCAACTAAAAATAATATTTTCATTCCAACTGCTTTACAAGAATTAAGAAACGTTTTATTATTAGAGCCAGTTTCACCATCATCATCAGCTTCATCTTCACCAAGAAACGATACAGTGGATCAAGTTACTCCACATTCATCACTTTTATATGTTGCTGCTGCTTCATCATATTTAGTAAATAACAATAACAACAATAACAACAATAGTTCATATTCAAATAGTTCACCATTATCATCACCATTATCATCACCAAACTTTTCATCAAACTATATAAATATTTTTTCAGACAACAATAATAATAATTTAAACAATATAAATAATAATAATAAAATTTCGAATGTAAATATAATCAATGCTATCCAATCAAATGTAAATATTAATCAAAATTTAAATAATAATAATAATTTAAATAATTTAAAAAATGAAATTAAAGAATTTGGAACACCATCTTTTGGTGATTTAAAAACAAATCATATTACTCCATTACAAAGCTTTAAAGCAGTCTTTCAAAATACAATTGAATATTTAACTTTTGAAATTTCAAAGATTAGAAATTATAGTTCCGCCTCCACTTTTTACTTGGGTAGCCGTTTCCCAATAACATTTAAAACAGTCGAAAGTTTCATCATTGTCTCTTTATTTATTAATTCACACTCTCTCGATAGAATTTCAGACTACTGGTCAACTACTCAAGCTAAAGTTTTCCCAGGTGTCTCTTTAATCCCAAGAATTTTATCAAGAAATAAATATTTTGAAATTAAATCAAGTCTTTCACATGTACTTTCAATTGGTCTTTTAGATAATATTCAAAGTATTCTTTATAATGATATTGCAACTTTACAAAAAATAAATAAAAATAATAATAATATCAATAATTTAAATAACATCAATAATAATAATATAAATAATTCAAATAATGCAAATAATAAATTTAAAACTCCAGTTAAACATAGAAATTCTACTAAAGAATTAGCCGCTTTCAACTTGATCCTCGAATATGGTTTAAGTAATTCAATTGACCTTTTTACAAATCTTAGACAATGCACCACTTCAGTTCCACAATTTGTTGAGTCATTAACTGAACAAATTAGTTCTGAAGAATCAAATAATATTAATAATAACAATAATAGTAGTAGTAATAGTAGTAATGTTAACAATACCAATAATTCAAATAACAATTCGAATAACCAACACATTCTTTTACAATCAAATAAAAAAAAGCAATGTTTTTCATGTAAATATCCAGTAAACAACACCCCATCAACAACAAATACAAGTTTAATTTCTACTTTTAAATGCTCTAAATGTCAATTACATTATCATCAAGATTGTTATAAAATATCACATAATAATATATAATAAAGTTTAAAATCTTTTTTAAAATTCTATAAAGAGTTATTTTAAAAAATTCATTTTTAAAAAAAAATTATTTAGTTTTCTTTTGTTTTTTTTTTTTTTTTTAAGCTTTAAAGTAACAAAGAATTATAATTTCTCATATATTGCAATATTATATTTATTATTTTTGTGATAATAAAAATAGTTAGATAATTTCCCCCTTCAGAAATATTAAAATTTAACTTTTAGTAAATAATGAATAAATTTAATCAATGGCCTGTACTAATATTAACAAATATTTCAAATAAAATATATATATTCTAACAGGATCCAATAGTAAACCAACTAATGATGGAAGATCATATAAGGATGGTTGTGTTAAACCGAGATACCCACCCACAGCAACTAGAGAAATATCACCTATGTAACCTGCAAAGTTACCAATGGCAACATTATCGTGTGGGAGGAGCAGTCTTTTTCGATACACGAGAGTTTGGAGATAAAAAACGACTATATATCCCACTCACAATGTGGGATATTTTTATATGTGTAAAGAAACTTTATAGAGAGGGTGTACCCATCACACAGTCTCTGGAGGAAAAAAATATATATTGGCCCAATTATAAATATGACGCACCAGTAATTTGCACATATATATTCCCAGAAAAGGAATGGTCGGTTGATGACAGAAAATCATATTATAAATTACGAGGCCCTGACCGGATGTCCATGGAATATTTAAATTCTAAATAAAATTAAAATAATGTTAAATAAAAAATTAAAAAATGGTAATCTCAATAAAAACTTTTTTTTATTCTTTATTCTCTTTTTTATTTTCTTTGGTTGTTATTTATAACAATAATAGTTTATTTATTTCAAATTTATTTAAAAATATTTTATTTGAACTCTCAAAGATACACTAACAGATAATAACCATGTTGATAATAACATTTTAATTTTGAAAAACAAATTAAAGATATCAACTTATATATATTTATGTATTTAAAATTTTTTTACAAAATAGTGATTCATTTTTATAAAAAAAGAAATAAAAATTGTTTGAAATATAAATATATTATTAAGGTTTTTTTAATGAATAATTGCAAAATGATTGTTTTAATTATGTAAAATTCCTTTAAATTTATAAATAATTTTGATAGTGTTGTTTTTTACAGTACTGAAAATTATAACCTACATTCTTTTCAATTTATTTTATTATAATTTAGTTAATCTCTGTTTTTTTTATTTATACCACGGACTATTTTAAGAATTAAATTCTTTTTTTTTTTATCTATAATCTATTTAAAGAAAAAAATTAAATTAAAAAAAATATTTATAAAATCAATTTGGAACCACCCCACCATTGACATCTGTCACATAACTATAAACACAGTATAATTATTCTTATAAAAATGCAAATATGATATAACAATTTTTTAATCTTTTTCTCTATTAATTTACACTTTTTTATATGTTATGTATTATTGAATTATTTAAAAAAAATAAAATTAAAAAAAAATAAATAAAAAATTATTTTAAACAAAGAATCGAATCTTTTAATATTATTTTTGGACAAAAATTTAAAAATAAGCAATCTCGATTTACATGAAATCTTATCTCTTTGAGATTACAATTTTTTTATACAACGATAATAATAAATTTATATTAAACACCTCCAATTGAAAATAACCCCCAATTTTTGCACACACTAACACACTAAAAAATATATAAAAAACTTTTTTTAATTATTAATGATATCATTTTGTTGTTAAAGTTGTATATACTCTATATTTAAAAAAAACAACTTTCCAAATACGAACAAAAATTTGGTTATGTTTTGAGAGTACAGAGAGATATTGCGATTAACTATATAATAGTTTTTTTATTTTTTATTTTTTTTTATTTATTTTTTTTTATAAGTGGAATATGATTTAATTTATTATTTATATAGCTTTAATTTTATTGTCAGGTTAGCACAGGTTAATTATTTTCTTTTGATTTATATAAATTTATACAATTATATATTTCTTTTGTGAGGAAAATAGACAAAATATTGAGGAAATAGTTAAATGACACCCTAACACCACGCTTACACACACTTTTTATAAACACACTTTCCACTCCAACCCCACATTCACAATTATTTGTTTTTAATATACCAACCTTACACAATACACATGGAGAATTAAAGAGAAATATTATATAAATTCAAAAAGAATCAAAATTGAAAAAAAAAAAAAAAAACAAATAAAATAAAATAATAAACAAATAAATATTGTTATATTTATTTCCATCAAAATCAACATATATTTTTTTTTTTAATATTTAAATATATTAAAAAACAACAACAAACAACAATTATATTATAATTTAATTTTCAATTAATTTAATTGATTTATAATTATATTATAATTAATTTTTTTTTTATTTAATTTAAATATTTAAATATTTTTTTCAATTTATATATTCATTATAAACTAAAGTAATTTTTTTTTTTTATTATTTCAAATTATAAAAAAAAACAAATACAAAAATTATATTTAAAAAATGTATATGCAACCAAGAATAAATAATACTTATATTGTATATCCATCATCACCTCCATCATCCGAATGTTATTTTAATATAAGTAATTCCCCACCAAAAAATATTTATTTGGGAGGTCATAGCCCTCCAAAAAGTCACTTTATTGTAAATCATAATATAAACAATAATAGTAATAATATAAATAATAATTCAAACAATTTAAATAACGAAGGAGGAAATTTATCATCACCCCAATATTTATCCCCATATAATAATATACAATTAGAAAGGTTCAATTTAAATGAAACAGTCAATAAAAAAAGGAATAGATTATCATGGAAGGATATTAAAAAAGAGTTTAATTTAAAACATGAAATTGAAAAAGAAGAAAAAAAATTAAAAAAATTTGAAAAAAAAGTAAAAGAAGAAATGAAAAAAGATAAAATTAAACAAAAAAAGAAAGAATCAAAAGAAAAGAAAGAGTTATCAAGAGAGCTTTTAAAGAAATTAGAAATTAAATTTAAACTATACTACAGTAATGAAGAATGGATAAAATTTGAAAACAAGTATAAAAATCAATTAATCGACGAACAACTTTTGGAAAATATTATTGAATTAATTTTTTAAACAAATATAAATAAAATAAAAAATATATAATTTTAAAACATAATAAATTTAAATCTATTTTTTTTTTTTTATTTATTTAATGAATATTTATTTTATATATCTACTAATTTTTCATCTTCAAACTCAACAAAGATATCAGAGCTAGTAAATTCATAGTAGTTTTTAAATTGTTGTTGTTGTTGCTGTTGTGATTGTGGTGTTGGTAATGGTGGCTGTTGTTGTTGTTGCTGTTGCTGTTGTTGTTGTTGCTGTTGTTGTTGTTGCTGTTGTTGCTGTTGTTGTACTAATGCTGGAGTTATTTGTTGCATTGGTGGATCAATCAACTTTATTGCTAAACCTGTAATTTGTTGCATACCAGGTTTTAATGGAAACATTTCAACATTTATGCTAACTTGAGAGTTTGGAGAAATAGGTTCAATTTTTGGTAAATGACTATTTATTTTAATTCCATCCATTTTATTTCGAATTAAAACAAATTGTGGATACAATGTACGGTTACTTTTATTTATTAATTTGGCTGTAATATTGAATGGTTTCTCTAATTTGATTAATTGGGGTATATTGGATAGTACTGCTTCAATATCTTCATTTCCTAATTTTCTTTGAATACCGGCTGTCTTTAATTTACCAATTTCACCAAAATAAGATCTCCATGTAATATCTAATCTACCTAATGTTGCTGATGTTTTGGTTTCATTATTATTTGGATCTTTGGGTATAATTTGGAATAAATATTGTCTACTTGATCCCTGTTTTAAAAATACAATATCGTTTGAAATTTTAATTTTAGATAACAAACTATTATTATCTATATTACTATTATCTACATTATTACTATTACTATTATCTATATCACTATTATTATTTTCTATTAAATTCTTTTCAAAACTAATATCTTTACATGTAAATAAATCAATTGGATCAAATACTATTGATTCAATAAATAATGATCCTTGGGTTGCATTTTCTAAACAAGCTTCTAAAAATATAATATTCTAAAAAACAATTAATATTTTTAAATTTATAATAATAAAAAATAAATAATATTAACTTACTGGTAAATTATGAATTCTAGTTTTTAATACCAATGGGTTCATTACTTGAAATTTAAAATATTTTCTAAATTTTTTTTGTTCACCCTCTGGAGATGAATAATTTACAGCACATACTAAACTATAATATTTTAGATAATTAGTATATTTATTGTTTAATAACAACAAGAATATAAAACATCAAACCACTTACATATTAATACCAGATTCCTTAACTTCTCTTTGTACAACAAAGTCAGAACTAAAACCAGGACTAAATGATGGTACAGGATTTTTCTCTGAATCTAATAGGCAAATTCTTTGAGATGTAGTTTGTAATTCAACTTTTAAATATACATCGGTTACTTGATATGGTGAATGATTATTTAAACTAATATAACAACAGAAAACTTCACCCAAATAAATAACACCAGATTGTAGTTGTAACATTGGGGTTAAACCCAAACCTTCAATGCCATTAGTTCCAGTATTTGAGCTAACATTGATTAATTGTTGTTCCACAGCTGCTGATCCTGGTGATGATGGGGATGATGTACCGCTGCCACTATTATTACCACTACTACCACTATTACTACCTAATCCCATTGATTCATATGCTAAATCATCTTTTTCACATAGAATTGGATTGATAGTTGGTATATTTGGTTTACTTAACCTCATAACCTTTAAATTTAATAAATGATTCTCTTTTTCTTTTTCCATTTTTTATTATTATTATGATATATAAATAATAACAAATATAAAATGAATGATTTCAAGATATTTTTTAGTTATAAATTAAATAAAACACACTTTATAAAATAAAAAAAAATGATTTAAAAAAAAAATTAAAAAAATAAATTTATAAAAAAAAAAAAAAAAAAAAAATTATTTTTCAATTTTTTTAATTTTTTTTTTTTTTAATTTTTGAATTCATTTTTTTTTTTTTTCATAAATCAAAAACCTATAAATAATCATTTTGTGTATATATCCTTTTTATAATAATATTTGTTATTTATTTCTTTGTTTATTTAAATAATATACTATATACAATATATATAAAATGTCAGAAGAAGCTAGTACTCAAATCGAACAAATTTTACCATTAGAATTAATCGAAAAATGTATAGGATCTAGAATTTGGATTGCAATGAAAAACGATAAAGAATTTGTTGGTACTTTATTAGGTTTTGATGCATATGTTAATATATTTTTAAAAGATGTCACAGAATAGTAAGTTTTATTATATTAATATAAATAATTTAAATTTTTAACCCAAATCCTAATTTCTTTTTGTTTAATTTAGTGAATATACACCAGAAGGTTTAAAAACAATTAAATTAGATAATATTTTATTAAATGGAAACCACGTTTGTTTGGTATTTATCATTTATTTTATTTATATAATATCCAGAAACTAAATTAAATTAAAATTATACTAATATTTCAATTTTATTTTTTACACAACAAATAAATTTAATTATAAAACTATAGCTTGTTCCAGGTGGTGAAGGTCCAAAAATAAAATAAAATATAATCAATAAAATAAATAAAAATATTAAAAAAACTATTATTGTATAAAATATATATTATTATTATTTTTTTTTTTTTTTTTAAAAGTTTATTATATTTATTATATTTAATTTTTAGTTATAACAATACAATATCTTTTAACTCTTTGACCATTATTCCATAATTTATTAAAGTATGAATAACCATAATCTTCAGCTAATGGGGTTAAGTAAGTGTTATCTGGTGATGCAGGTTTATAAACTTTTAATAATTTTTTAGATTTTGATAAAATTTCGATAATTTGTTCACTGTAAGGTTTGTCATCAGTTACAATGGTTAGAGTACCTGATTTCTTTAAACAACGATTAATTTCAACGAGGAAAAGTTCGTTAATTAAACGGTCAGCGCCTTTCCATACTGGAGGATTTGGATAATTGATATAAACTTCATCTAAAACACCATCTGGTATAACTTCTTTTAATGACTTGTGAGCATCACCACCTACAATATAAAGATTATCGATTGATTCTAAAATTGCTTTACTCCAAATTTGAAAGATACGATCATAACGAATTTCCAATGATATCCAATCAGCATCTAAATCTTGACCTGCTCTTTCAGTGACCCAATGACCATGACCTGAACAAATTTCCATTTTCAAATATCTATTGGCTTTATTCTTTGGTTTGGTTGCTGCTAAATTGGCGATTGAATTGGCTTTACTATTTAAATCTACATCGTCGGTGCCTTTGTAGTAAACTCCACCTTTTTTGTATTGGTTAAATAATTCATTGAAAGCATCTAATTCCTTACCGGAGCTTTCGTCGCTTATTCTATTGACATTGGTTTTGAAGGAATTTTTTGAGAAATAGATTTTATTAAAGCTTTCCATATTGTAGAATTTGACTTTGATCTTTGCATTGTTCATTGTAATTTTATTTAAATAACTTCTAACACGTTCACATTCTTCGTTGATTTCTTGTTTACCAATTCTTTCGAAAAGAGATGAAGAAATTTTATTTCTTTCTGATAATTTACCTTTGTTTTTGTGGGAGGTGGTGAGGGTTTGTGGAGCTTTAGCTAAAATATCGTCAGTGATACCTAATGCTTTAACGGATGATTTGATATCACCTGCTAATAAAGATGCTAATGAAAGACGTGAGAAACAAATGGGTGAGATTTGACCCTCCATTCTTTCGTAAACTTTGGCTAAAAGATCCCAAATATCTTGAATCATTAAATGATCTGAATAGATTTTAATTAAATATTCGATTGTTGTGCTATCTGGATAGATTTCATTCGATTTCATCAATGAGATTAAACCCTTTGTAATTTCGATATCACCACTTCTTACACAACCACGGAATATAGAGTTGAATGTACGGATATTTGGTTTGGTTGAAATCATACTCTGAATCATTTCATATGCTGATGTCATATCGACTTCGCACAATGCTTTAATATAGGTGGTGTAAATTACATCATTGGCAACATTATCTTTAATTGCATCATCAAAAACTTCTTTGGCTTTCTTGTACTCTTGACATCTAACACATGCATTTAACATTACACCATAAGTAATATGATCTGGTTTAGCGCCTATTTTTTTTAAATAGTTATATGATTTAACCAATTGAACATAATTTTTACTTTCTGCACATGATGATAATTGTTGTGTAATTTTATTAATAACTGCTTTATTATTTCTAACTGTTGATACTTTTGTTTCCTCTTCTTTTTCTTTTTGTTTTTCTTCTTCTTTATTATTATTTTCATTATTATCATTATTTTCTATTGTTGATTGTTCTTTTGGTTGTGGTTGTGGTTGTGATTGTGATTGTGATTTAGTTTCTTTTTTCTTTTTTTCTGTAGCTGCTTTCTTTTTATTATTTAAATCTGTATTATTTTCTTCTTTTTTAATTGCTTCTTTTTTAGATTGTTGTGGTTGTTCTGGTTTTTGTGGTTGTTGTTTTTTTTTATTTTCTACTTTATTTTCGACTGATGTTTCCTTCTTTGTCTCTTCAGGTTTTTTAGTTTCATCTGCTTTTTTATTTTGTTCTTTTGGTTTTTTTTCAGTTTTTTGTTTCTTTTTTGGTTCTTCTGAAGTTTCGATTGGAGCTGGGGCTGGGGTTGGAATTACTTTTTTAACTTCATAAAAATCTACTTGAAGCTTTTTATCACCTAAAGATTTACCATTTAAAATGTTTCTAGCCTAAAAATTAATTGTTAATAAAATATTTAAATAAAAAATACATATTTTCTTGAATAATTATGTTTCATTATATTTACCATTGATAATTGAGATAAGTTTGGACATGATAAAAATGCAATATTTGTACCAGCTTCAATTTTATGGGCAACATCTGCTGGGATACCAGCTGGAATGGTTATATTTATACTTTGGTTTTGAATGATTTTTTTTAAATTCTCAATAATATCATTTTTATTGACCGATTTTGGTATATTTTTAACAATTAATTTAGTGATCGATGCTGATGCTGATGCTAAACTACTTCCTAAACTACCAAATGGTGTAATACCAATTGATGTACCAAATTTTCTTTTTAAATCCATAATAAATTAAATTAATATAATAAAATAAAATAAAATTATTAATGATTTATGATAAAAAAAAATAAAATAATTAAAAAACGAAAAACGACAAAAATAAAAAAAATTAAAAAAAAAAAAAAAAAAATATTATTTTTAAATTTTATATAAAAATAATTTAAATGTTTATTTAATAAATAATAATGTATTAAATTACATACCAAATTTCCAATAATTTCTATTTCATTGACTTTTAAAAATATAATCATTACACATTAATATATTTTAACACACCAAAATTACAAAAAAAATAAAATAAAATAAAATTAAAAAAAAATATATTTATTTTTTTTTTTTTTTTTAATTTTATTTTTAAATTTAAAATTTTTTTTCTCACAATATTGAACTTTTTTCATTCATTTAATTACATAGTTTAACTTTTTATTTTTGTAACACAATGCCATATATTAAAGAAGGCGGAGAGGTTACACAAAAGAGGACAAAATGGAGACTATCCATTGTTCCTGAAATGTTTTGGTATCTTTTGAATCAAATTACCTATTTGTATGTATTTCGAATAAAGTATATTATCATTTTTATATATCAAAATTATTAATAATATTTTTTTTCTATATTTATAAATTTAGCTTTCAAACATTGTTAGGTGTATGTATATTAATATAGTATAACAGATAAATAGTTTATTGTTTTATTTATTAACTTATTAAATATAAATTATAGAATGAGGTATCAAGATCATCAACTATTGGAGGAGGTAAAAAGCCACAAAAGCGTATGGGTGGTTTTGGTCCATCAAGTGGTGGCCCATCAGGTGGTGGTGGCGGTCCATCAGGTGGCGGTGGCGGTGGCGGTGGCGGTGGCGGACGTGGCCCATCAGGTAGTGGTGGTTCAACAAATAGAAGAGGGGATATGAAGAATATTCTTGCCTGTAACGCAGCTAGTGGTTGAGGTCCAAAATAGGTTTAGGTTTAATTTAGTTTTCTTATTTCTTCTTTTCAGTATTGCAATTGTTTTTGTAAGATGTGTTTTTTCGATAGGTTTTAGAATTGGAATTAAAGCTGTACAAATAATATAATAATTTTTAATTCAAATATTCAAACAACTCATTATTTAGACCCCATATTTATAGTATATATTAATAGATACATCAATAATTCAGTAGCATCAACGACAAAGGGAAAAAAGAAAACGAAAATTAAATTATAGACCATTCCAATGATGTAATTAAAATAACTAGTTTTTTTATGAAAAAAAAAAAAACTGTAATGATTTGTTATATGTAAACCTTTTTAAGGGGATATAACAATGACAAGGTTATTCAAATCAAATCATTTCTTATATATATAAGATGTGGTATGGTGTTACATCATTATCAAAGCACGTTTATAACTTAATAAAACAAATAAAGTTTTTTATTTTATTTTTTTTTTGATAACTTTAGTTTTTTTAAAATTATTTTATTTTATTTTATTTTTTTTAAAAAGAAAACAATTTAAATAGTTATATTTATTTAAGTATTTAAATATTTCTCTATATTAATAATAATAATTGGTTTGGGGATTTCTTTTTTTTTTTTTTTTTTTTTTTTATAATATTGTTATTTTTTGTTGTGTATATAAAGAGGATTATTATTGTTAATAATTTTAATTTTCAAATCGAACTTTTTCACATTTGTATTCTCTATTGCAGTGTTGATCAAAACCACAGTTTAATGTATGCTCGCAATATCCATTGGTGCAAACATCTTTTGTACATGCGACATTATCGTTGCAATCTGAATTTACATTGCAGGGTTTATTACCATTACATGCTGGATCTGGTTTATAATGGCATCTATATATTAAAGTAGTAGTAATTAGTATATTAAGAAATGAAGAAAATTATATTTTAAATACATACCCATATTCATTATCACAAAAATCAATAGTACAAGGATTATTGTCGCTACAATCAACTGCTTGATGAGTACATCCTATTTCAGGATCGCAATTATCTAGAGTACATAGGTCTCCATCTGAACAATCTTTATAATTAGTGTGGCATTTGAGGGTTTGCTTATCACATACTGCAGTTCTACAATTATCAGTTTGGCAACCTTTGAGACAATTTCTATATTCAGTAGAGTTTTCGCAGTTTATCCATTCATTCACTATATTTATACAAACGCCATAGTAGGGTGAATAAAAATCTGTAGTACAGGGATTGTTGTCACTGCAATCAACACAGTATCCACCCTCATGACAAATTTCTTCACCCTTGCATAATGGTTTTATATTACATGCACCAGTAGTTTCATTACATGATGCAATCGAACAACGATCACCACTTATACATGTCGGTGTATATATACACTCTCCATTACTTGGATTACAATATGCCTTTTCGCATGCATGTCTACTTACACATTTTTGTTGGAATGAACAATCACCATTCTTTTTATTACATGTTGCAATTTCGCATTGATTTTGTGGTACACATTTGGGAGTATGTTCACATTTTAATATTTTAAATCTATCTACTGTACATGGATCATTATCATTACATAAAACTGCAATTTCATTTGTTTCACCTATAATAAAGCAATTAAAAAAAAAATAATAATGACAAAAAATATATATATTTTTTTTAAAAAAATAAATTTACAATTAGTAATTTTTTAAAATTTGATGGTTTTAATTGATAGATATTAAAATTATAATTTTGGTAAAGGAAGAGTAATTATTTTTTGTATATTAAAGAATTTTAATAATTTATATTGATATCTATCTATTTTTTGTTTAAATTTTGTATTTACAATTTATATATACTATATAATTTAAAACTAAAAATAGTATTAAACATAATAATCTCATTTTATATAATTTATATTATTTATAAATATATTTTTGGCAATAGTTATAATTATTATTATTTTAATTATTATTATTATTATTATTTTTATTATTATTATTATTATTACTATATTATGTTATTGATTAAAGTATATATTATTATATATATTAATATATAATAGTGATTTTATTTTTGGTGCAATATCTTTATATAGTTTTATTTTTTTTTTTTTATTTTTTTTTTTTTAAAAAAATAATATTTAAAATATTATTTCTTTTATTTTTTAAATTATATTTTTATTTTATTTATTTTTTTGATATAATTTGTTGATGTTTTTGTTGTTGTTTTGGTTGTGATTTTTTGCGTGTTTTTAAAGAGTGTTTTGGAGTGTGGGTTATAAATTTATAAAGTGAATGTATTTAATTATATCTCTAAAAAAATTATACATATATATACATATATATAATTATTATTTAATGTTATTATTTATTTTTTATGAATACATTAATTATTTAAGGATTTTGAAAAAATAAAAATAATATTATTAAAAGTTTTTATTGGTAACAAAAAAAAAAAAACAACAAAAAAGAAAAACAAACAAAAAAAAGTTTATTTAATGAGTTATTTGATTTATATTAGTAGTTAATATATTAACAAAACAATAAATAGGTTGTAATTTAGATATTATTATTTTTTTATTTTTAAATATTTTTAAATTTTATTTATTTATTTTTTATTTTTTTATTTATTTAATTCTTTATTTATTTTTATATTAAATAGCTTATACCCCATCACATCAAATAGTTTATGTGTCCAATAGATTCTTTTTTTTTTTATTTATATTTTATTTATATTTTATTCTTTTTTTATTTATTTAATTTTATAAAATTGTTTTTGGTTTTTTTTTGGTTGTATAATTTTTTTTTTTTTTTTTTTATCAATTAAATATGGATTTAATTTAACAATTTGTTCATGATTTATCTTTGCACAAAATATTTTAAAATAATTATAAAACTTTAATAAAAATAAAAATAATACTATTATATTTCAATATTATTTAATATACTATAAATAGTGTTATTTTTTTTTTTTTTTTTAATTGTATTTTTATTTATTTTCTATTGTGTGTGTATGTGTGTGTATTTATATTATTAAGTATAAGAAATATAAATACTGAGGTGTGAGTGAAAGTGTGTTATTATTATTATTATTATTATTATTATTATTATTAAAAATATAAAAATTAAATAAAAAAGATTTTTTATTTTTATTTATTTAATTACACACAGAAAAAAAATGAAAAAATGAAAAAAAAAAAAAAAAAAACTTAACTTATTATTATTGTGCTTATATATAAATAAAAACAAAAAGAAATCTTTTGATCAATTATTTTAATTAATGTAGATGTAAAACATTTTAAAGTTATAATTGTAATATGGATAGTTTAATTGGTTTTTATTGATTTTCTTTTTATTATCTATTTATTATTAATTTTTATGATAATAAATTAATAATTGTTTTTTTTTCTTTTTATTTTTTTTTGTATATCTTTGTTAATCATAATAAAAATCAATATTCACACTCCCACTATCAAATACACATCACAATATATAAACACACACTATTTTAACATACATACATAAACACAAGTAAATTAAAGAATTGATTTCTTTTCTTTTTTTCTTTTTCAATAATATGTATTTTTATCTATTATTACCATTTCATTATAAAAACTAACATAAAAAACTAACCAATAAAAGAAATAAAAAAAAATTATTTTAATGTTTTTAAAATTTTAAAAATAAATGGAAAAATAAAAATAATGATTTTGTTTTAATGTGATTAATATAATATAGTATTTATTTTGTAAAATTATTACATTTCGAAATTTTGTGTTAACAAATATGCTACTCTATGGGTTATTAATTTTTTTTTTTTTTTTTTTTTTCTTTTTAATTTATTTTAGTATTTCTATAATAAATTAATTCTATTGGTTTATGATGTTTTATTAAGCGTTTGCATATTTTAATAAGTATTGAGTAACTTCTCCATATACATCCTATTTTTAATATTTTATAAAAAAATAACATTAGTATATTAAAAGGAAAATACAATAATATTTAATTATTATTTTTTTATGATGTCACATATCTTTAAAAATGATAGAAAAATAATAATAGTAATAATACATACAATATAAGCATTTTCTCCCCAAACAAAATCCAAATGCGAATATGATGGTAAACTCTTCCAATTAACCAATGAGCTTAAACGATCAATTAACCATTGAACATCGGTTGGATCAGCTAAATAATCTTGACCACCAGAGTAAACGACAACTGGAACATTAAAATCTCTGATATTATATTGTGGTGGAGTAGCTTGGCCGTAGTGTGCTAAATTTCCAACTACACCATAGTCGAATTTTTGATAACCATCTTTAGTAGCTTGTGACCAATGGATAACATTTTGTACTGATGTGCCACCTGGTTCATGGGCCATATAAACTGGTAATCTAGTGGTGTTAATACTGGCTTCATCCCAACCCATAATTAAAGCTAATGAATTTTCACAAATACTTGGGGCCTATATAATGAATTAATTAGTATATTTTATAATTGGTTTTATAGTATTAAGTTAATAACTTACATTTTTACAAATGACTGGTAAATACTTTTGAAGGAATGGGGTATCTGGTAAGAAAGCATTAAAACCTAAAGCAGCAAATAAAATATCAACATTAAAGTCTGATAAAATATTTAAAAGATCAGATTCGCAATGGGTTACACGGACAACTGGAGCTAAAGCAACAAAGAGGTTAATTTTATCGGCTACAGTTTGATTTGTCATTCCAATGAATGCCATAGTTGTACCTTGTGAATGACCTACATAACCAACTTTTTTATTACCTGTAGTTTCTAAAACATAATCAACAACAGTTGGTAAATCGTATTGAGCCATTTCATCAAAACTAAAAGCCCAAAATTCTTTAGAATCTGAACTATAGTTAATATTTGAGTTTGAATAGGTGGTGCCTCTAACGTTATTAATCCAGACATCGAATCCATTATCTGCTAAAATAAAACCTAAACTTTGATAAACATTCTCTTGAAGTACCCATGTTATACCTAAATCCTCTACACCATGTTGTAAAATAACAGCTGGTTTGCCATTCGATCCATATGGGTTTGGATTGTTTTGATATCTTCCTGCTGGGATACGTTGAACGGATAGCTATTTAAAAAAAAAGAAAATTCTTTAAGTATTTTTTTTTAAAGGTCAAAATTTAATTATAATTATTAAATACATACAATATAACCATCTGGTGTAATAGCTTGATGATTTTCAACTGGATATCCTCTAGCCTGAATAATTTCTAAATAAAATTATATTAGATTTTAAAAAAGAATAGTCAAAGGGTTATTGCATAATTACCTGAAATATTTCTGACTAAATCAGGGTTGGATGACGAGGATGAGGATGAAGCAAAAAGAGATGAGTTTGCAATAGAAAACAATACTGCAACTAATAAATATAAATATAATAGTTTCATTTTATCTTTAGTATTTTGTTTTAATAAAAAAAAATTATTATTTATACTTTTTTTTTTTTTTTTTTTTTTTTTTAGTTTTCTTTTTTAAATAATTGAATTTTTTATTTACTTTTCAAAATTAATGGTAAAGTTGGTACTATCTATTTATAAGCTCGGAAATAATGATATCATTTGACCACTGGGTAAATACTGGGTTATAAAAAATCTAGTTTGTTATACTAAAAACAGAAAATTTTAAGATAATAAATTAACACATAATATAAACATCATTGGAATTCGAATTTTATTTTGAAAAAATAAGTGAGTGGTTTTTTAAAAAAAAATAAAAAAAAAAATTGGAAAAAAAATATCTTGATTTTTTTTTTTTTTTCAAATAATAAAATCTTGATATTGATACATTTATTTTTTTTATTATTAACGATTGATAAATTTTTTGAATTATAAATAAATATTGTTATTATTTTATTATGTATTTGCATATTTTATTAAATATTGAACAGCTTCATCATAAACTTGCTATAATTTAGTATTTTTAATAAAGAAATATTAATATTTGAAAATTTTTAGGTATATATATTTATAATAAAACTTACAAGATAGGCATCTTCTGCCCAAACAAAATCTAAATGAGAGTAGGATGGTATATTCTTCCAATGAACTAAAGAGGTGAGTTGTGGAATTAACCAATTAACATCGGTTGGATCGGCTAAATAATCTTGACCACCAGAGTAAACAACAACTGGAACTTTAAAGTCAGAGATATTATATTTTGGTGGAGTAGCTTGGCCATAGTGTGCTAAATTTCCAATAACACCATAGTCGAATTTTTGATAACCATATTTAGTTGCTTGAGCCCAATGAGCAACATTTTGTACTGATGTGCCACCTGGTTCATGGGCCATATAAACTGGTAATCTAGTGTTGTTAATATTGGCTTCATCCCAACCCATAATTAAAGCTAATGAATTTTGACAATAAATTGGTTTCTAGGATAAAAAATGATAAATTGGAAATTAATAATTAATGAGCTATAGTGCTATACAATATTACATAATACTTACATTTTTACAAATGATTGGTAAGTATTTTTGAAGGAATGGAGTATCAGCTAAAAATGATTTACCACCTAAAACTTCAAATAAAATATCAATATTAAATTCTGCTAAAACATCTAATAATTTTGATTCACAATGGGTTACACGGACGACTGGAGCTAAAGCAATGAAAAGATTAATTTTTTCAGCTATAGTTTGGTTGGACATTGCAATGAATGCCATAGTTGTACCTTGTGAATGGCCTGCATAACCAACTTTTTTATTTCCTGTTGTTTCTAAAACCAAATTTAAAACAGTTGGTAAATCGTATTGAGCCATTTGATCGAAACTAAAAGCCCAAAAATCTCTTGAACTTGGATCAAAATAAATGCTTGAGTTTGAATAGGTAGTTCCTCTAACATTATTAATCCAAACATCGAATCCATTATCTGCTAAAATAAAACCTAAACTTTGATAAACATTCTCTTGAATTACCCAACTAGTACCGATATCTTCAACTCCATGTTGTAAAATAACAGCTGGTTTACCATTCGATCCATATGGGTTTGGGTTATTTTGGTATCTTCCTGCTGGTATACGTTGAATAGATAACTAAAAAGGTAATAAAAATTAATAAAAAGAATTTTTTATTTTTTTTTTTGATTATTCTTTTATTTTTAATATTAAAATATATTTAATACATACAATATAACCATCTGGTGTAATAGCTTGATGATTTTCGACTGGATATCCTCTAGCCTCAATTAATTCTAAAGTATTTATAATTATTAGTGTTTTGTTTTTTGTATTGATATTGATATTCAAAATTTATATACGTACGAGAAATATTTCTCTTTAAATCAAGTACATTTTCTGATTCACCTCCTGATGTTGATGAATCATACAATGACTTTACATTAGATACTAATGATATAATTAATAATAATACAAAAAATAATTTCATTTTATAGTCTAATACTAATAAGAAGCTTATTACTATTATTTCTTATAAAACTAATTATATATTTATTTGTTTGTTTAAATTTAAAAAAAAAAAGATTAGAATTTTTTAACCCACATTCCCAAAAAAAAAAATTTTAAAAAAATTAAAAAAAAATAAAAAAAAAATAAAAAAAAATAAAAAAAAATATTTTTTTAAAAAAGATATTTTAATAAGTTATTTAATTTCTTTATTTTATTTGGATATTTTAGGGAAAATTATTTTTACTTAATTTATTATTATTATTATGAATTTTATTTAAAAGTAGTTTATATTCATCGATTTCTATTATTCCATCGGGGTTATTTAAAAAATAATTGATATCATGACCGAAAAATTCAAACAAATCTATTTTTATATTTTCTATTTGTGGGTTGTGGCTGTATGGAAGAATAATTTCTAAAATATTATTTATTAAACTATCTGAAAATAATATTATTTTGATATACTTTAATGAGTTAAAGTGGTATTTAAAAAGGGTTTCGAGGAATGATAAAGAATTTGATTTTTCTTCGATTTCTAATAAAAAATTGTTGATTCCAACGCCGCCATGGTCGGCTGAGCTATGTATTAAAATATTATCTATAAGCTTTGTATATGATGGAGATACAATAAAGCTTTTTATTGAAATATTTCTTAAACTTTTCATTGGTGGTGGTAATATTAAATGATCCTCTATAATACCAGGTCCTAAATTTCTTACACCTCTATAATACTTAAAGTGGTTATCTTGGAGATTATCTAAACGTCCCATTGATATCGATTCCACGCGTGAGAAAAATAATTCTAAGTCCTCTTTACTATAATTTCTATAGGGTATATGTTTAATTGAGAGATATTCCAATGATAATGGTGGTTGGTTAATTAAACTAAACTGAGGTATATTACTTGGTCTAATATATTTAATAGCATTTCGAGGCCACTCTAAATTATTATTATTTATTAAATTGGTTATAACTTTAAAAAATTGTTTTGAAACCAATGCTAATGATAATAATGATTTATGAACCGAATTTTTTTTAAGTTGATTTTTATAATTTAATAAAATATCATGTATTACTAAATCTGAAAAGTTATATATTTTATTGTTATTATTATTATTAGTTATTTCTATATATTCCACACTTTCATCTTCCAAACTTTCATCATCTGTACTGTCATCCATATCATCATCTTTATTCATATAGAACTTAGGTTCAATTTTTTTGTTATTAACTATTTTATTTAAAGTATCAACTTCAAATTTTATATTTGGTCTGCATTCTAACATCGCTTCAATACTGAAACTATACCATCTATTTTTCTAAATAAAATTGAAATTAATATTAACTATAACTTTTTAAAAAAATTTAATTGATACATACTTTTCTATTAAAATCTACGATATTGTTTTGGTCCAACGATTTAAAAATATCTAATTTAAATTTTAACAATTCAATATTATTTTGATAATGTTCTTTGAACCACCCATTAAACTATAAAATTTAATATTAAAATTAGCAAATATTATAATAAAGCTAAACTAACTTGTTGTAAATATACATACTCTTTTATCAAATGTTATTTGATTATACAGTTTTGCTAAAATAGAACCAGATATATTTGATGTTATTAGTTCACCATCTTGAAAATAATTTGCATTTTTTAGCTCATTAAATATTTTTAAAGAATCTTCAAAAAAAACATCTGCTATAAACTCCAAATAGTGTTGATAATTTACTATTGAAAAATACTTGTTGTGGTGATATTGATTAAAATAAACTACACATTTGTATCTAATTTCTTCATTATCACTTTCGTATAATTTTATAATATCTAAAAGTTTGGTAAATGATTGTTCACTATAACTATATATTAAATCTTCTTGATAATTATAAGTTGTTTTTTGTTTCTTTATCATTTGAAAAAATAAATATGATAATATTTAAAAATTAAAAAAAAAATTAAAATTTTTTTATTTTTTAAAATAAAAAATTTTTTGTTTATTTATTAACGAAAATTAAAATTATTTTTTTAAACCCCTTTATTTAAAAATTTTATAAGTTTGGTCTGACCAAAGACTAAAGAAAAAACAAATAATGTTTTGATCAATATATATGGCTATAGTTTTGATAAAGTACCAGCTGTTGTTGAAGAATCAGTTGTCGAATCGGCAACTGTTGAAGAAAATAAAGTTGAAAGAGTCCTTTATCCAAAAGCAGAGATTCAAATTTCAAAACCACTGGTCATCCGGAGATGGATATTACAGTTAAAGAAAAAACTAGTACCCACACATTGCAAAATCCAAACCAAATTTTAAAGAAACCCAATCATTATCAATCTAACAAATTGATGATCAAAAATCAAATATCAATAATTTATCATTAAAAATGGTTTTAAAAATTAATAGGTTTTTATCAATAATTTTAGGAAATTACATATTAGTTGTTGCCATGGTTTGATCTTTTTAAGAAAACAAAATTACAACAAAATAGTTAATTAATAAAAAAAATATTTAACATTCAATAACATATTATTTTCACTATATTAATAATTCAATCACTTTATTTTATTTTTTTTATTTCAAAAATTTTTATTTTCATAAAAGAAATAAAGATTCATTGTTATTTAACTTTGTTAATAATTAATTTTTTTAATTTTTTTTTAATTTTTTTTTAATTTTTTTTTTTATTATCTTTTTAAAATGAAAAGGTTTATTAGGTGTTTTGTATATCATTTTAATACAAATTTAAAATAAAATTTTTTTTATAATTTTCAAATAACCATTTAAAAAGAACCTTTTTAATTTAATTTTTACAAAAATTTGAATTTTATTTTTTTTTATTTTTTATATAATATTAATTATATATTCAATAATTTTTTATTTATCCCATACTCTATATTTAATTAATTGAATTATATTCAAAACTTTAAAAAAAAAAATTATTTTAAAATTAATCAATTGTTCTCCAAGCCCACGTACAGGAAATCAAACATCACGTTATATCAAAGTACCACATCTAATTTATGTTGATATTGGACAACATACTTATATTGTTGCTCCAAGGCCTTTAATAAGATCTTCTCCAACCTACCAACGTCCAAAACCTGTAAAGAGTTCATATTTTGTCCCGCCACTTCACCTACCACCATATATTAATTCGAAACTACCAAAAAATGCCTCCCCATAAAGTAACACACATCCACAATATGCCTCTCAATATTGTAACACACATTCACAATATGCCCATACATACAATAACCCATCAGTTCACCAATCACCATATTTTAATTACCAGCCACAACAAAATTTTCAAAATGGTTATTATTCAAAATTTTGAATCAGGGGCACGTTACAATTTCATGGGAGAACAACCATCATTACTCCACCCACAATCTTAAAATATCATCAACATCTTGAATCAGAAGCACGTAATAATTTCACAGGTGAACAGGCATTATGGTATGGAGAATGGGTCAAAAGGCACACTGCATAAAGAATTATTTTTAATCAAATCAACAGCGCTCAAAAATAACCAATTTCATTTTAAATCAACCTCAATATCATTTATTTTTCTATAAAACGAAATAACTGTACTTTTATTGTATTTAAATTTTCAATTTATTTACTAATTTTAATAACATTCTATAGATACATAATATAAACTTTAGTAGAAAAAAAAAAAACAATTTAGAATATTTAAACACTCAAACAAAGTAAGTAAAAAATCATAGAACCCAAAACAACAACCCATATATATAAATAACTAACATACTTTTTTATATTTTATTAAAGATAGTATACCTAGTTTAAAAGAATATATATAACATCATCATGATGGGTTATTGTATGTATGGGCATATTGTGAATGTGTGTTACTATATGGAGAGGCATACTATGGATGTGTGTTACTATATGGAGAGGCATTTTTTGGTAGTTTCGAATTAATATATGGTGGTAGGTGAAGTGGTGGGTCAAAATATGTACTCTTTTCAAGTTTTGGATGTTGGTAGGCTGGGGAAGATCTTATTAAAGGCCTTGGAGTAACAATATAAGTATGTTGTCCAATATCAACATAAATTTGATGTGGTACTTTGATATAACGTGATGTTTGATTTCCTGTACCTGGTCTTGCTATGTACGTACAAGTAGGTAATCAGTGGGTGCATGTATTAATCGATACTTGTTGTAATATTGGTTTAATTAATCCGAAGTACACCAGAAGAAGTTTAGGGTATGAAATTAATTAAAACTTCTGCAAGAATTAAAGTACGGGTTGGGAAGGATACGAAGGAGTACATGTCAAATTATAGTGTATCAATAGCCATATATTTTAATACATCACAAAGTAAAATTTCAACACAAATGAAGCTTCAAATAGTTGAAATGGAACATAACCTAGTGTTGGGTATGGATTTCATTACAGTGTAAGGTACAAACCGGAATATATATGTAGGCCCCAAATTTTATTTATTAAATCAACATAACAAAAACATTAGAAAGAGTAGAACAAACAGGTACATCAATTACCGTAAACCTCATGAGAAAAAAGTTTTACCAAGGTGATGAACGTGTTTTATGTTTCAATTTTTTAAATTTAACAATATAAAATAAAGTTTAAATAAAATTAATATGGAACAATATCAGCAAAAAAAATCTTTTTCTTCTATTTTGTCTAATCAATGGAGGTTTCTTAACTTTCTTTTTATTAATTAAGTTATATCTCTTAAATCATATATATAGAAAGGGTATCAAAAAAGATGTTTCATGACCCATCACAATACTTAGTTCAGGTATGTCAAGATGCATTTCATTCAATTGAAAAATCAATTATAGAATCATTTTATGAATCACTCCCTGACCGAATCGATGCAATATTTAAAGCACATGGGGAAATACTAAATATTAATCTTTTCAGCTGTTAAACTGATATGATTTTAATTGATATGATTTTGTGCTACAATTACTTTAACATTGCATTACTACAAGATGTACCATTCTCACTACCATCATCTGTTTCAACATTGATTCAAAAAATAAGTATTTTGACCCTTATTTAACTGAAGGGTGTAATATTTAAAGAATAAATAAATTATTATAAAAAAAAATAAAATTTTATTATTAAATAATAAATATATTGGGATTGATGTTTAAATAAAATTAAGATAATTTCTCAAAGGTTTTATTTAAATAATTTTATTTAATTATTTTTGTTTATAAATATATAAAAGATAACTAGTTAAACAATAGATAAATTATTATAATAAAAAATAAAACTATTCATAAAAAATACAAATTTTTTAATTTAATAATTGTGGAAGTTAAAGAAAAAAAAAATAATAAAATTAAAATAAAAATAAATTTTCAATCTTTTTTTAACTAAATAATTTTGATAAATAGATAATTATTATATATTCATCAGAATTAAACTTATAAATTATTAAAATATAGAAATAATATTTGAAATTAATTAATCTTTATTTTTTTAAATCTTTAACTTAGTATTCAGGATATCATTTAAAAGAGAATTTAATGAATTTTTCAAATCAAAATATAGGTTTAATTAAAAATCTAAATTTAAAAATATAAAATTAATAAAGTCTATATAACTATTACAAATTAAATAAAATATAAAATATCTCACATTATATTAAACAATTGAATATTTTTAATTTTTTTTTTTATAATTTATTAAAATTTTTAAATTTCTTTTTTTTTTTTTTTTTTTTTTTTTTCATTTATTAAAATTAAAGCTTTCATTCACACACACACTCGTTTTTTTAAATCCAGCTTATATTATTTTTTTTTACATTAAACCATATAATTATTTTTTTATTTTTTACACCTATATACATTTTATTTTATTTTAATTAATTATTTATTTTTTAACAAAAATGGATCAATTAACTTTCGATATTTTATATTTATTTTTTGTTTTTTGCTTTTTTACTATTTGGTTTGGTTCAATAATATTCGAAAAATCCAATTACAAAAGTTGCCAATGCTCTACTATGAAAGGTAAAAAATGCGATTACTGTATCCATAATGAAGAATTCATAGAAAATCAAGAAAAGCTACGTCAAAGACTTGCACAGATACACTATAGACCATATTATCAGCGACAATATCAGTTATATCAACAGATGCTATATCAACAAGAACAAGAACGTCTAATGCTTGAACAACAAGAACAAGAACGACTATATCAACAACATCTAATAGTTCGAAAACTTTTTAATAAACATTATCAGTTGCAATTACAACTAGAACATAACCATCGAAAAAAACAAAGCCAAGTTACATGAAAATTTATCAACACTATTTAAACCTAGAAACTTTTAGATAATCAATTATAACTATAATTTAAAAAAAAAAAAAAAAAAAAAAAAAAAAAAAAAAAAAAAAAAAAAATAATAATATTAGATTTTAGATTCAAAACATTCAATATTATAATTTATAATAATAATAATATTAATAATAATAATAATAATAATAATAATAATAATAATAATTAGTTTCAAAATATAATCAAAATAGTATTAATATTAAAATAGACTCAGCTTTATTTAAACCAACTTAAAAAGATTTAAACTAGTCAACCCAAATGAAACTTTTCAATCTAATCAAATGCTTTATGCACATTATATCTATCAAATTTCTCTGGCCAAGTAAATATGGTAGAACATCAAATAATATTAGATAAAGAAAAATATTTAGTTGTCCTTATTTTAAGTTTGGTATAGAATGCAAAATCTAGGAAACATAACCAACTTTCGAACAACCATGATCAATAAAATTACCATGGCACCAAAACATCAATTGTATACCATTTCCAAAGTTTATTACTGGTTTATTTAATTAGAAACAGTATTCAAAATTATTTTCAACTCCATCAGACCAATCGAAAATAATTTCAGTGGGAAGGAGTGTACCTTAGCGAAAATAAAGTTCAAATTATTTGTACTATAGGAAATTTATTAAGAACTTTTCAGAGCTTACGTATAATTTAACAGAGTTAGTGACAATGACAAATTATTTAAATCAGATTTATGGAAGAGTATAATGGCAAGCACAGGTATTAAAATGAAATTAACAGCTCCGGGTCGTCCACAAGCAGATGGTCAGTCGGAAAGAACAAATGGAACAATTAAAGAGACCCTATCCAAAGCAACGGCAAAAAGGGATAGATGGGATGAAGAGTTATCAAATATAGAATAGAACAAGAAGTTCAGTTTAATAAGAATAGAAAAGAATTAGAAATAGAAGAAAATAGTTTAGTTTTGGTCAAGAGATGCGTTTTAAATACAATTAAGAATATAGTAGCACAGGATCAATTCAAATTATTACCGAAATATTCAGGTCCATTTAAAGTTATAAAGAGGAAAGAAAATACAAACAATTATAAACCATTAGTAGATGAAATTGAAAAGATCATTAAAAGAAGAATCCGTAAATATGGCAAAGGTGAAAGAATAGAATATTTAATCAGATATAAAAATTCAAATGAAGATAATGATACATGGGTACCAAATTTTTATTTAGAAGATGAATGTGAAGATATGGTTAATAGTTTTGAAGCCGATTACAGATGTTGGTCAATCAATTCAAGTTTAAAAAAGAAAAAAAATAAAAAAGTTATTAGGTTATGGTATTTTAGTTCAAACCAGTAATTTAAAATAACACAAAAAAATTTGTTTTTTTTTATAAAATCACAAATTGTGATTGCTTGAATTTTAAAAATAAATTAAAAAAAATTATAAAAATTAACATTTGAAAAAAGAGGTTATTAAATTGGTTTTTTTTTTTGTTTTTTTTAACATCATAATTTATTTTTTTTATTTTTTTAAACATCACAATTTTTTCTTTTCTCTCCTTTTTTTTGAACTATTATTTTAGAGCCATTGGATAAAAATAAATAATTTTTTTGAATAAAAAGAGATAAAATTTAAAATTTAAAAATTATCGTTTCTATAAATTTAAATTTGTATACAGTAACATCAATTCTTGTTTGATTCTGAAAACTTGGATATACCCAGATTCGAGCCAGATAGCTCGTAAAAACATAATTAGATCTACCATCCTTTTAAACTTTGGTTATATGGTTTAAGAAATAGTTTTTTATTTTAACCACTTCCTCTGATGCTATAATATTTGTTAAGTTTATATCATTTTTGATTAAATTTTGTTCTTCAACTACTTTAACATTTGCAACACCTGTATTACCAATGTACACTTAGCAATTTCACAGGTGAACAAGCATTATGGTAACCTCATCAAATTGCTCATTGGATTTATTTACTTGGACTTAATTCATTCAATCGTTATTTGTTTTATAGAAAAGTAAAAGAAAAAGAGGATTTATTTAAAATTTAAAAATTAGAGTTTTTTGTAATATTGTTATAGTTTAATAGGGTATCTATAAAATCATCATAAACTTCTTTGTGTGAATTAACAGACCAAATAAAATCAAGATGTGAAAAATCTTTAATGTTTTTCCATTTAATTAGATTTTTAATTTGTGGAGCTAACCAACCTACATCCTCGAATGTACTAAATAAATCATTTGTTCCGGTATAAAACATTGTTGGTATATTACTTTCTGATAGCTTATATTCTGGAGGGGTATTTTGGCCATAAATTTCCCAGTTTTCAGTATGCCCATAATCAAACTTTTTAAAACCATTATGGTAAATCTGCATCCAGTGAAGCAGGTTTTTAGTGGAGCTTCCGCCTGGAACATGTGATATGTATACAGGTAATCTAGTTTTATTAATATTACCATTCACTTCCATACCTTCGATCATTTGAAGAGGATACAAACATATATCAGGAAATAATTTACATAAAAATGCTGCGGGTTGCTGTAAGATCGATGCACCATTTAGGAAACCCGTATACATAAATCCACGCAAATAAGATTCAAATAATGGTATACTTGCAGCACTTTTAGCAATGGGACTATGGGTCAATATTGTTACAGGACCTAGTGCAATAAATAGATTCACTTTTTTTTCTAATTTTTTGTTGGAATTAAAAGCAATAAAACCAATACTTGTTCCCTGTGAATGTCCAATATAACTCAATTGTTTTCTATTTGCAACATCCAAAATATAGTCTATACAAGTTGGTATATCAAATTCAGCCAATTCATTTAAAGTAAAATTCCAATACTGTTATATTTTAAAGAATTAGTAATAAATAATAAATAAAGAAAATTTAATATTTAATTACCATTGTATTAAAAATAGAATTATTAACATGTTCATTACTTAAAAGAGTTCCTCTCGAATTACTAATCCATACATCAAATCCTTTATCAGCTAAATAAAATCCTAAACTTTGGTGTACAATCTCTTGATTTACCCATGTTGTTCCTATATCCTCAAAACCATGCTGTAATAATACTACTGGTTTTCCTTGTTTCTTAATTTTATCATATCTTTTATTTGGAATTCGAAATAACTTTAACTATTTTTGAAAAATATAAAATGTTAACCATTATAAATAATAATATATATTCTATATATACATACAATATAACCATCTGGAGTTGTCACTTTATGCTCTTCATAAATATATCCTCTCGCCTTGATCAGCTCTAAATTAAGGTTATTAATATTTTTATATTTTAATTTTTATAATAAAAATATTTACCTGTAATATTTCTATTTAAATCATTAGACGGAAATAAGTCTTTATATTGAATATTAGACTGACTAGATAAAACTATATTTATAAAAAGATATATAAATAATAACAATAATTTCATTTTATAGATAATTAAAAAAAGTTATAAAAACAAATAATAATAGTACAAATAATAAAATAATTATTTATAAATAATAAACAGATAAATAAAATAAAAATAAAATAAAATAGATTTAATTTAAGAGAAATATATTTAAAAATAATAAATTATTCAATTTAAGACTTTTTTTTTATTAAAAAAAAATAAAGGAATTCTATATAAACTTTTATTAAAAAGTCTTTTAAACCTTTCTTACTATTATTATAACTATTAACTATAATAACTTTGTTTTTATTTTATTTTATTTTATTATAATTATCTATATTATTTTTATTCTATTGTTATTATTAACCATTAAATTGAGTTGAGTTACCATTATAATATGAGTTTGAATCATCCTTTTTATTATTATCATCATTCTTTTTATCATTACTATTTGAATCATTAAGAGAGTGAACACCTGTTCGTTTTTTAATTGGTCCTCTATTATTACTATAATTATTGTTACTATTTACACTATCATCTTCTCTATCATGATTTCTTTCAGTATTTGTATCTGTTTGTTGTGGTGTATATGCAAAAAAACTTGAAACATAATCTTTTACACTTGAAAAATAACTATATAAACCATAGTCACTACTAGTACTGCTGCTGTTTGAATTAGAGTTTGTGTTATTTTTTGAATCTCTGTCTTCTGTTAGCTATATTTTTTTAAAAAATTAGTATGCATTATAAATAAGTGAATATATTTAATACATACCCCAATTATAATTGTTGCAGAAGGAACCAATTCTAAATCTAATAAAGTTTTATTGTAATCATTATTTGTAAAATAATGTTTTGGATATACGGTCATCATATGAAAACTTTTATCTATTGGATAGTTTGCAATAAAATAATCTCTAACATGTTTTAGCTTATCAGTAACTGCAAATTCACCTTTTAATGGAGAACCTGTTGGTGTTTTAAATATGATTGTTGTCATTTTGGCTTTATTTATATAATCATAATTTGGTATAAACGGTTCATTATCTGGTGTTGCTGTGGGTGATTTGTTATTGTTTAAATCTTCATCTTCAATTGAACCATTATTGTTTGTGTTATTATCATCATCTGTGTTTTTTGCTGTTCTTGCCATTATTATTTTATATATATTATCGATATATAAATTGAAATTAATGAAATAAAAAAAATTAAAAAAAAAATAAATTTTAAAAATTAAAAAATAAAAAAATAATTAAAAAATTATTTTAATTATTAAATAAAATATTTATTTCCAAAAATAAACATTTTAATATCTATATGTTTAAAAAAAAACTTTAATCAAATAAATATTTTTGATTAAGCAATGAAAATTTTTTAAAATAAAAAAAAAATAGAAAAAAAACAATAAATCAAAAAGTTATTTTTAATATTAATTTTTTTATTTTTTAATTTTGATATAAAAGAAAAAAAAAAGAATAATTGTTATAATTAAAATCCAATTATAATGTGGATTTTTATTTTTTTTTTTTTTTTTTTTTTTTTTGTAATTTTTTTTAAGGGATTGAGAAAAAAGATTGAAAGAAATGATTATTTGTTTTTAAAGATATATTTATAATCTTTAAAAATAGAAAACATTAAAAAATATTGTATTGATAAAAATTGAATTGTATTATTATTATTATTATTATTATTATTATTAAAATTTAGATTAACCAACTCTAGGTATACAAACTTTGACATCAATGAAGAGGAGTACAAGGAAACCAAGAACAAGGAATAATACAATGTTATGAGCATGGTATGAAGAAGCATATGGCCATTGTTTTTCTGATTGACGAAGAGCCATTGGAATGAATGACCATAAATGCCACATAGTCGAGAAAGAGAAACCAGCAACTACAACTAAAAGCCACATATCATTTTGGAAACAATTGAAACGAAGTACAGCAGAAAGCATAGCTAAGATGTTTACAACAAAGAGTAAAACATTTGGAAGGAAAAGACGTGAATTTTTAATGGTATCAGATTCTTTGTTGGAGGTACGGAAAGATTGTTCAGATTTATGTTTTCCAGCGGCTTCTTGATTATCAACATTATCATTGACAAGTTTACTTTGACGGAAAACTTCACAAACAACTGGTTTCTTTACGAAATCTCTCTTCCAATTCCACATGGCTAATTTATGACGTGAAATCTTACGAGCTTTTAATAATTTGACAATTGATGCAGAACCTTCTTTCCATGCAGAAATATAAGTACCAGCAAAACCAAAGAAAGTTTGTTCAGCTCTCCATAAATCAGTAGCTTCTACCCAAAGTGATGGACCAGATTTACCAGCTTCATATGGACGACGGGCTCTAAGAATCATATATTGAATGACTCTTGGTAAAACCATGACAGGAATCATACCTACTAAAATGAAAATAATTGGATCCTTTACAACGATTGGTACAGTCCAAACACTCATAATTAATGGGGAGATACCATAGAAGAAAGCAGTTGGTGAAAGGAATGGATAAATACATGAATCTAAATTGTAAAGCATCTTTCTCCAACCTAATTTGCTACGAATATAACCCCATGGAGTTAAAGAGAAAATTTCTACAGCACCTTGAGCCCAACGTTTTCTTTGTTCAAGAGTTTCCTTAATATCAACTGGAGCAGTACCTACTACTAAAACTTCATTATGATACCATGATTTATAACCGGATACTTGTAATTTCATACCAGTATACATATCTTCTGTTACAGAGTTATACATAATACCACCAATATCATATAGAGGTTGACGTCTGAAAATGGCATTAGTACCTACGAATGGACATGCATTGTTTGCTGAACGACCTTCCATTACTGGACCATAAAACTCCATATTACGATGACCTAATGGATCATCAACTGGATAAATGTTACTAAAGAATTGTGGAGTTTGAACAAAAGCTAATTCGTGACCATCATCACAATAGAAATATGGTAAAACACGTTTAAGGAAATCTGGATGTGGCTGTTGATCAGCATCTAAAAGACCAATAAATTCATAATCGGCTTTGGTTGATTCATTGAAAAGAGCATTGTTGATATTACCGGCTTTGTTATGAGGAATGGGTGGTTTACGTCTACGAAGATATGTGCAACATGGGCTTACAATTGGACCATCACAAGTATCGAAATCAATACGAATATTACCAGCAGAGATTTCATCGAATGGTAATTCTTGTCTACCCATCATTAAAACTTGATATTGTGCCATTGCTAAAGCTTCATTATTAAGGAAACGAAGACGATGTTGGTTATTGAGTTCTGAGATAAAGTTTTTGACATAATCTTTCTTGAGGAGGATGCTTCTAATTAATGGTCTAAAGAATGCAGAACCGTGCCATAATGATTGAAGTGAGTCAATAGTAAAGTTACCAATCTTTTCACGTTCGCTAGCACTAAATGTACGATATGGTGAGAAATTTTCTTCACGGAGTTTACCAATAAGAACACGTTCATCATCATCGGCTTCACGTTGAATTTCTTGACCAACACCAAACCATGAATTTAAAAGGAAATATTCGATGAACCATTGAACTTCTGCTTCAATGACTTCTTTAGTTGATGACTCAATCTTTGAACTAGTTTCATTGAGAATACCATGTGGATCTTCGTGTTGACTTGTAACTGGTGGACGAATGTTGTGAACAGAGTAAACAGCTTTTTGTAATAAAACATAAAGGAAATTCTTTTCGACTGATTGAAGATGTGCCCAACCTCTAGATTCACGATAATTTACAGAATCATCCAATAAACCAATCCAAAGATTTTCGCTTGGGTAATCCATAGAGATTGCAGTTCTGAAAGTACGACTTACAATTGAGGGTGGTTCCTTATAAGTACAGACATACATCATGACAGTTGCGTGCTTCTTTCTTCTCTTGGCTAAAATTTGTTCCAATGTGACAACGAGGATATAAGTGCATGGATTGGTAAAGTTATTAAGATGGAGTGCAGAACCAAGGAAAGAGACAAACTCTACGATAATGAAGAGTACAGAGTAAGCCAAAGTATAATAGTTGGTTTTATTCATAGTCCAACCAGCACGATAAGCAAAATAGAAAATATTCCAAATTAAGAAAACAGCCATAGTTGCTTGGAGGATAGCGTGCGAAAAGTATGGTTTAATTTCAAATACCACCTCTTTCTTTTCTTCACCGATAATGGTCTCTAATGTTTCAGAGTCTTCTTTTGCTACAGCTTTCTTTTTACTAAGTTGAAGTTGTGATTGTTTCTTTTTAGATGGTGAAACTGCATGCTCTTTAAGTCTTTGCTGTTGTTCTTGATATTGTTTATGTTGACGCATTTTCTCTTCCATTTCTGCTAAACTAATATCTGGATCAACTAATGTATCGAATCTTTGGCCGCTTGTTGTACCATTGTCAGATAATGGTGAAGCACTCATTTCCTTTGGGAACATTTTCTTTTTCTCTTCGCCATCGAATTGATCTTTGCCACCTTTTGATGATGATGATGGTTCATCATCCATACCTTCAGTAATTGGTAAACCTTCAGTTAAATTTTCTTCGCCTGTACCTGTACCATCATCTTCCCCAAAGTCCATAACTGTATTTTTCTTCTTTAATACACCGCTACTCTTTAATTTTCTTTCAGAGTCTTTTCTAACTGATTTCTTTTTCAAATCTCTTGAAATCCATTTCAAATTATTGGATGATGGCTTTGGCTTTAAATTTCTACTGCTTGGATTATTACTTATTGAACTTGGATGTGGTTCTCTTGGAACACTATTACTACTATTGTTAATGTTACTTGAACTATTGTTATTAGGGGTATTTATTGGGAAATCCCCATCATTTTTATCCATGATTTTTTTCAAAATCTATTTATTATTTTTTTGTCTTTTTTTTTTTTCTTTTGGTTGTATAAAATTTTATAAATTAAAATATTCTTTAATTAAACTAAAAAAAAAAAAATAAAAAATAATTAGTATATTTTTTGATTAAAAATTATTAACACTGTGATGAATTAAAAAGAATAATAATTATAAAAAGAAAAAAAACAATTTTATTTTTAACAATATAAAAAAATATTTAAAAAAAAATTATAATTTAAATAGAGATTAAATGTTTTGATATTTTTATATTTTGTTTTAATTATTGCCACTATTCCTATTGAGAGTGTGAATAAGTGTATCAAAATAAATGTTGATTATTTATTTAGGGGAAAGATAAATTAAAAAAAAAAAAAAAAAGGAAAAAAATACACAACACCCACACCACAAATATATAAATATATTTAACTTTAAAAAGTAACAATAATTTAAATAATCAAAAATGTGTTATATGTGTTTAATATTTTATGTGTGAGCGGGGTAGTAGTTATTTAAATATAATTATTATTGTGAGTGGGTTAATATGATTTGATTACAAACAAAGATTATTTTAATTTAAACAAAAACAAAGAAATAAATAATAATATATAATTTTAAAAAAAAAAAAAGTAATATTACGATTTAAAATATAATATTAAACTGTTATACTGATTATGTTTATTATTTGTAATTATTGTTATTATTAATATTATATTTATTAATACCAAATTATATTAATACAACTTAATATTATTATTTTGATGTATTATTACTATTGATATATCACTAATATTACTGAGTGTTATTTTTATATAAAAAATATAAAAATAAAATAACTATATTCTATTTATTTATTTATTTATATATTTATAAAAGTATATTTTAAAATATAATAATTTATTTTTAAATTTTTTGATTTTAAATATTTGAATAAAAATATAATTTTAAAATAAAAAAATAAAATAAAATAATAAATTTTAAAATAAAATTATATAATTATTATTATATATGATTAATATTAGAGGTGGTGGTGGTTTTTGAAATAATAAAAAAAAGAAAGAAAATAAAAATGAGAATTATGTGAGTGTACATGTTTAAACATATTAATAATTTTTACTTTGATGGTTTAGTTATTATCAACAACACTATGGCTATTATAAAAATTATGATTATGTTTATAGTGTGTTGATATTGAGTGTTTTTATTATAAAAATTATTGATAGTTATTACAACATATATAATGAATATAAATATATATATAAGGTGGGTGTTTTAATTTTTTAACTATTGTGATGATAAGTTTAAATAAAACAAAACGATTACTATCACCCCCCACCACAAAAAAAATAATAAAAACACATGCACACACCACACTGTGAAATAATTATATGAGGAAAAAAAATTATTATTATAAAACTTTATCATTGTTACACAATGCTTTAAATAATATTATTTAAAAAAAAAAATAAGATATAGATATACCACACATATAAAATAAGAATGATTAATAACAAAAAATATCAGTAACACAATGAATTTAAATTACGATAGGATATTAAATAATTGATATACTATAAATAGTATTTGATATATAAAGATTGAGAAAAAAAATAATTATAAATAAAAATGGCTAATGGTTTATGATGTTTACCTTTGAGATTAAAAAATAAAAAAAACCTATAAAATTAAAGATATTATACTATATTAAACCCTATAATTTTTCTATCTTTTAAAAATACAACTATAAAAAATTAAAAATAATTTAATTATTAGAAAAATTATTAATATTTAATCTTTTTGATTAAAAAATATTTGACATGTTATTTCTATAATCTCCAATAAAAAACAAAATATTTATACAAAAATTATTAAGGGAGGATTTTAATATTTGTATATACTTTTAATAAATAAATAAATAAATAAATAAATAAATAAATAAAAACAATTTCTAAAATTATTTCTTAAGAAATAGTGTTGAAAATTAATAGTTGATATTATTTAGATATAACACAAAATTAAAAAAAAAAAAAACAATATAGTAATTATTTTTTTAGATATTAAAATAAAAATATAGTGAGAAATAATTTATTCTTTATTTTTTTATTTTTATTTTTATTTTATTTTATTTTATTTTATTTTATTTTATTTTATTTTATTTTATTTTATTTTTATTTTAAATTATTTTATTTATTGTTTTATTATTTTATTATTTTTGAATAAAAACAAATATATTATACAAAATGTTATATTTATTTTATTTCTCTACCTCACACACAAACACAGATAAAAAAAATAAAGAAAAATTAACCCCCACTAACAAATAAAAAAAAAGTAATAAAAAAAAAACACATATCTAGATAACTGAAAATGTTATATTTATTATTGTTATTTTTTTTGTTTATCTAAATGAAATTAAAAGATTTACTATTTATTTTATAAATGATTAAAAAAACTAATAAAATAAAAAACAATTTAATTTTATATCCAATAAAATTAAAGTTTGAGAACCATAACAAACGAAGAACCCCACACAATTTTTATATTTTACCATTTATATGTTACTTTATTAATTTTACTATTTATTATTTGTTATTATTATTATTATTATTATTATTTTTATTATCGCTATTGTTTATTCTGAATTTCAAAACATTTGAAGTTGTTTTATTTATATTATTGATCAAAATAATAGAAGTAATTTTATAATTATATATAAATATATATAATATAGTAATAATATAGTTATAATAATATAAAAAAAAAAAAAAAATTTAAAAAAATAATAAATATGCAAAATATATAGGTTGTTAAAAGTTTTTAAATTGTGAAAATAAAAATACAAGAATAATCAAAAAATTGAACAATTCAATTATTTAGTCGAGTTTTATTGAGTATATTTGATATGGATATTTATTTTAGTATATAGTAAAAAAAAAAAAACTGGGTTGTTGTTGGGTGTGGGGTAAAGTGTGTTAACAAGATATTAAAAAAAAAAAAAAAAAATTATTTACATATTATGCGAGTGTGTTTGTGTGGGTTTGTTATTTATAAGTGTAACTAAATATTGAACAACATGTTCACACTACCACACATATAAAATAATAGAAATAATATTAACCACACTTTTTTTAAAGAGTACCACTCTTATTTATTATATTAAAATATCTTTATATTGTATTGGGGTGGATGTATTATACTATATTGTATTTATATAATGGTGCCTTTGGGTAATAAGTTTCGTATTTTATTATTGTTTTATTTATGGATTTTTTTTTTTTTTGTTTTTTTTTTATTATAATGTCATAATTTAAAATAATAATTTTAAATTAATAAAATTTTATTTTATTTTAAAATGGAAATAAAGTTTTGTAAATAAATATTTTAACCCTAAAAAAAAGTGATGGTTTTTTTTTTTTTTTTTTTTTTTTTTTAAACTATGATTTAATTTATTATTTGCGAGTTTTAAGAAAAAACAAAAAAAGATAAAATAAGAGTTTTAACCCATTATACTTACTGATCTTTTAAATAAAAAATTGAAATTAGTTGAGCCTATTTTGCCTTTTTAACTATTTAAACAAACAAACAAACAATTATAAATAAATAAATAAATAAGGAAAAAAATAATTAAATTAAAAGTTATAATTTAATTGATACAAGATTTGTTTTATATATAGTTATAATTTATAATATATATAATTTAAAACAAATAAATAAAAAAAAAAAAATAAAAAAAAACAATCTTTTAAAAATTTTATTTATTTGATGTGATGGTTATTATTTTAAATATTTTATTATTTAATACAAATAACATATATTTTTTGAATTTAAAATAATAATATTATAAAAAATTATAAAAAAAAATAAAAAATAAAAAAAAAAAAAAAAATAAAAAAAAAAGAAAATTGATTTATTACATTCATTTGACCTAAAATATATTGTAACTATCATATAAAAAAAAAAAAATGTTGTTGCACAAAAATAGTAAACACACATATAATTATATTTAAATATTAATTTTGAGAATTCTTTTTGTATTTTTTGCATTTTAATACACATTTAAATACATATTAAACCCCACTTTTAAAAATAATATAAAATTTTATTTTATACGATGTTAATTATTATCATAGTTTAATTAATATGGTTGTTTTTTTTTTTTTGAAAATTGATTAAATAATACTAGTGCATTACTATATATTGATGTTATGATTTTGATGACGATTTTTTTCACACATATTTTAACACATTTTCACACATAATTAACTCACAACACAAAATACACACACACGCACATCCACAAAAAACCCACCACTTTAATCAAAGTAGTTGACGTTAAAATAATTTTTTTATATGTAAATGTGGGTGAATATAAATGTTTGTATTTATAATTTTGTTTGAATATTATTATTTAGAGTTTATAATCTTTGAAAATGTGTGAGCAGGGTAGTGTGTATAAAATATATATAACATTAATGAGCTGCTATTGTTATTGTAATTTTTTTAATATATATTTATATATATACTTTTGTTTTCTATTTTGGTGGTATCGTGTGTGTGACTAAAAATTGTGATAGTGTGTGAATTAAATTAAAAACCACTAAAAGAGATGATATCACACAAACATTTTTTTTGAAAATTTATTTTTATCTATCTATAAAAAAAAATAATATAAAATGATTATATATGTGCAAGTGTGAATAGATTTATAAAAATATAACTTTTAATAGTGGGGTACCGAATATGTAAGTATTGTTTAAAAAGTATCGTTGTGTTTTAGTGCTAAACTATTGATTAATAAGTGTGAGATTGTTTGTGTTTATAATATATGTGTGATGTAAGTTGATATATTACACATGTGTGCATGTGATGTTATTGTTAATATTTTGGATCTATCGATTTTTCCTTTTATTTTTTTTTTTAAAAAAAACCCAAAATATTTGGTAAAAATTTAAAAATACACCGTATTCCTACACCCTAATTTATATCGTCATGCTGCCATTATTATAAAAAAAAAACAAAGAAACAAAACCAAAAAGGTCAAACTTAAATTTTTTAAAAAAAATAAAACCCCCCTGTATATATATGGTTGCACAACAAGTAAATAAATACAAAACAAAACTATTTTTATTAGATTAATATTTTTATTCTATTTTAGTTTTGTTTTAAAAATTTAGTAATAAACTTAAAAACCAACCTTTAACCAAATATAAAACTTGATAATATTATAAATATAAATATACATATTATTATTATTTTATTACTATTGAAATAGTAATGTTGTGGACTATTTGTTAAGTTTATTGAAACTATTCTAAACATATATTATCCTCCTTTATTTAAATTTATAAATCTAAAGGAGCAAATCGATATCATTTTCTTATAATTATTATCATTAAAACATTTCATAAAAAATAATTAAAAAAATAAATTTTTTTTAATTTCAAATTTTTTTTTTTTTTTTTTAATTTCAAAAATTATTTTTGTTTATTATTTGTTCATATTTTATCTTTAACTTGTGGAACTGAAATTATTTAATCTTTAAAAAATGTAAAAAAAAAAAAAAAAAGTCAACTTTTTTTTTACAAGATGATTATATTATGTGTGAACTTCACAAAACATGTAAGTTCAAAATTTTTTAAAAAAAAAAAAAATTTTAATTTTTAAAAAATAAAATTTTTTTTTTATTTTTTTTTTAATTTTTTTTTAATTTTTTTTTTTTAATTAATTTTTTTGAATTTAAAATTTTTTTATCATTTTTAAATTAATTTTATATACACAAACACACCAACCATATAAAACATATTTGATTTATTTTCAAACAGTATAAAATAAATTGAATATATTATATATCTTTGTAATTTTTAACAAACCAACTATAGATTAAATCACTGTTTTTTTTGTAAATAGCTTTTGTTTTTTTTTTTTTTTCTTTTCCTTTTCATATTAAAAAAAGTTAACTTTTTTTAATATTTCACATATATATAACAAGTAAAAATGTCGATTATGGCTTATAATGGTGGTGCCTGTATTGTAATGACTGGCAAAAACTGTGTTGCAATTGCATCAGATTTAAGATTTGGTATCCAACAACAAACCATCTCTAATGATTACCCAAAAGTTTACAGAGTTAACGATAAATGTTTTATTGGTATTTCAGGTTTAGTTACTGATGCACAAACTTTGTAAGTATTCATTACAACATACACAAGCTATTCAATTTAAAATAAAAAATAATAATACTAATAAATTAAAATTCAATTTGTAGACATCAAAAAATTGTTTTTAGACATAATTTATATAAACTTAGAGAAGAAAGAGATATGTCACCAAAAGTAGTTACAAATTTAATTGCAAATATGTTATATGAAAAGAGATTTGGACCATATTTTACCGAACCATTAATTTGTGGTTTAGAAGGTCCAGATAATACACCATACATCAGTGGTATGGATCTTATTGGTGCACAAGTACAAACTGATGACTTTTTAGTTGTTGGTACTATGACTCCAGCAATGTATGGTGTTTGTGAAACTTTATATAAAAAAGATATGGTAAGAATTAAATAATTATAATATAATAACAGTAATAATAATAATAGTATAATAATAAATGATAATCATAAATATTCAATATACTAATTTTTTTCTTATATATAAAAAAAACTAGAATGAAGATGAACTTTTTGAAACCATCTCACAATGTATGTTAGCCAGTTTAGAAAGAGATGCACTCTCAGGTTGGGGTGCTGTTGTCAATATTATGTAAGTTTTTCATAAAAAACAATACTAAAAAAAACTCAATTTACTAACTACAATTCTTACTTTTTTCCATATATAGCACACCAACTAAACTTATCACCAAAAAATTAATAGGACGTCAAGATTAAATTTTTTATTCCTTCATAATAGAATGAATGAAAAAAATAAAAAAACTTTTTTTTTTTCTCAAAAAAAAAAAAAAAATAAAAAAAAATAAAAAAAAAACTAAATTCAACAACAATACACAGATAAATATATAATGTGATATCATACATATACCATATATATTTTACAAATTTATTTTTTTATTTTTTTTTGTATTTTAATAATTATTTTTTTTTTTTGTATTTTAAATTATTTTTTTTTTGTATTTAAAATTATTTAATTTTTAAAAAAAAATTTTTAAAAAAAAAAACTGCTTAAAAATAATAATAAATCTATATTATAATAAATTAAATTAAAGAAATTAAATAATAATAATAATAATAATAATAATAATAATAATAATAATAAAATGTTATCAGAAACCTTGGTAATCTTATGGGTAGTTTTTTTATTTTGTTGTGTAATTACATTTATATATGAATATTTTATACCCAGAGCAGAAAAAAAGAAATGGGATGACAAGAAACCAATTGAAAAAGATCCAAATGAAATTAAAAAGATTATAACCTCAAAACAAGAGGCATTTGATTCACTAGCAAAAGAAAATGAAATTAGAAAAAGAAAAAAGAAAATGGAAGAGGTCATCAGAAAGCATTTAGAGAATAATCCCAACAACAACAAAGATTTAGGTATAAGATTATCATCCATAGAACCAACTCGTGAAAATATCGAATCAGAAACCCAAAGAATTATAAGAGAGCAAGATTTAGAGTATTTAGAATCATTGGAATTAGATAAAATGATTGTATGTTTGGTTAATACAGATATTATACTACCTTTATAGGACATTAAAACTAATATTAATATATTTTATTTAGGAAAAAGAAAAAGAGTTAAAAAAGCAAAGAGAAGAACAAACTAAAAAAGAAAGACGAGATAGAATCGATAATTTAAGAAATAATCTAAAAGAAGAACCAGCCAATGGTATCAAAATTTTAATAAAGCTACCAAGTGGTATGTCAGTTCAAAGAAAATTTTTAATAAGCGAAAAAATTCAGGTATGTTTTTTATTGCATAATAATAATAATAATAATATAATTACATAAAACATATTGTATTAAAATAACTTATTAATATTTATTAAATTTAGGATATTGTTGACTATATAGATTCTAAAGATGAATTAAAAGTATCGTACTATCTCTCGACCAATTATCCCAAAGCAGTTTATAAAGATTTAAACCAAACACTAGAAGAATCCAACATTACTTCACCTACAACTTTGTATATAACAGAAAAATAAACAAATAATTTAAATAAATTGATTTTTATAAAAACCATATTATGGCTTTATTTTTATTTATATTGTATCCTGTTGTTATTTATTTATTTATTTATTGGTTTCGATGTTGTTGATGATGACAATGATGATGAATGATCTACAGTTGAATTTCTTGACATTTCAGCATATAAATCTCTAAATATTATTGGATTTTTTTCTTCTAAATACAACATTTTTTGTTCAATTAATTTTACACGTTGATAAATTTCCAACGGGACTGGAGGCACAACTAATTTAAGATGGTTTTCTAAAATTGATAATCTTTCGTCAATATATGGTTGCTGAATATTCATAGTGTCTGTAGCTTGATGATCCAAAGGTCCTGATAAATTATATGTTTTTGAAATTTTCATTTTTGATGGTGGTACTGCAGATGTTCTTGAGGATGATATGTTAGATTGGTTGGTGTTGTCATTACTACCATTATTACTGCCACTTGCACCGCTACTGCCATTATTAATATTCATACCAATGTCATCTGGCTCCTCTATGAACTCAATTATATTATATTTTCCATTTTCACTCTTTTTTAATGAGTTGAATAATCTAACCCTTTTTTCAATTTCTTCCTTTGGTGCTGTAATTTGTATAAAATCGCCTTGGGCCAACGAAGGAGTAGGTATTGCTATCTTTGGTTCCTCACCAACTTTTTTAAATCTTTTAACTCTGTATTTATCCTTTGATGACATAAACTCCCTATTATTTATAATTGAATCTTTTTGATTGATTTTATGATATAATGACTTTTTTTTTTTTTAAAAAAGAAAATTAAATTAATACTTTACTTTACTTTAAAACAAACCATATTAAGTTTCTACCTACAACTGATTCTGAAAGAAATGCCTGAGTATTCTTTATATAATTTCCTTCAGCATTTACTGTTTGATTAACTGAAATTTGTTTTTTTTCATTATTATTATTATTATTATTATTATTATTATTATTATTATTATTATTATTATTATTATTATTATTATTATTATTATTACTTGTATTATTTTCTAATTCGTTTGATATTATTAAATTAATATTTTCATTTAAAAGGTTTACCAATTCGCTATTTACATTTATCTAATTAATAAGTATTATAATAAATATTTTTCCTTTATGTATATTTCTATGCTATCATGATTTAATACCTACATTATTTAAATACTTTATTAATGATTCTTTTTGACTTATCAATAAAGATAATTTAATTTCTTTATTTAAGGGGACATAAAAAGAGTCATCAACTTTGTTTGATCTATTTATTGAAGGTGGTGCATCTATAATATCAATATCTATATCATCATCCTCTTCAAATTTAAAATCGTCATCAAAATCATCATTGCTATCATCCATTCTATTCAATTTTATTTCTTTAGAATAATATTACTATATATAATAACACACGAAAAAATTAAATAATAGTTTTTTTTAAAAAAAAAATAAAAAAATTTGGGGTTGCAACAAAAATTAAAAAAAAAAATAATTGTGAATTATTTTGTTTAAATAAAAAGTAAATATGTTAATGAAATAAAAATAATTATAATAATAATTAAAAAAAAAAAGGTAATTGTAATTGTATATAATTTAGTTAAAAAAAAATTTATAAAAAAAATTAAAACTAATTTTTTTTTATTTTTTTTTAATTTTCAAAAATTTTGTAAAATTTAAAATAAAAATAAATAAAAAATATAAAACTTTATTTTTATTATTTTTTTAAAGAGATGAATTCATCTCATGAATTTTGGCTATCATTTTCTTCTGTGTTCTTGTTTTCTTTTTCTTCTTTTTCCATATCTGATTTTTTTATTAAATCAGGAAAGTTTAGGTCAGATAAGTTAATCGTAAACAAATCTTTTATTTTCTATAAATCATATAGCTCTTGGTAATATAAGATTACATCTCCAAAATTAAATTTAGTATCTTCTGGAACTTTAAGTGACTTGTAAACATCCAAAATAGTTTGAGCTCTAGCAACATCCATCTCTAATCTTTGTATATAACCTTGGAGGCATTCATTTGTACAGCAATTTTCTAATTTCATAATCGTCGTTCCTACCAAATCGTATGAGTATGTTTTTTATTGTTCATTTTAATAATTATGCTTCAAAAACAAAATAAACTAAAAATAGAAATAAAATAAAATTAAAAAACAATGGTGGTAAAAACAAAATATTTAATAATAAATAATAAATAACTAAATTAAAATTTTTTTAATTTTTTTATATTTTATATCAACTCTTATTTAAATTGTTTTAATATTTATTTCTGTTTTAAAGTTAATATATAAAAAAAATTTTAAAAGCTTTTTTAAATAATGTTAAAACTTATATTATTGGTATTGGTTCTGGCACATTATCGTAAATCTCACCAATTTGTGGGAATGATTACTGATGCATATGTTAACACGACCCAAAATAATTATCAATGAGATAATAAAGATTTAATGATACAAAAGAGAGAAGTAATGGTGTTGGTAAAAAATGTAAATAACAATTATATATTAATAAAAAAACAAAAATAAAAAAAAAATTTTAAAAAATGATCTTTACACCAAAAACACTAAAAACACTAAAAACACAGGGCTGAAGTCGTCCGTTCGAATCCAAAATAATTTTTTCTTTTTTTTTTTCTTTTTTTTTTTTTAATTTTTTCAATTTTTTTATTTATTCATTTTATTTATTAATTTTGTTTATTAATTTTGTTTATTTATTTATTTATTTATTTATATTTTAATTTAATTTAATTTATTTAATTATTACTTTTCTATTTTATTTATAAATAATAATTAAATAAATTAAATTAAAATATATATATCTAAAAAAAATATAAAAAATAAAAAAAAAAAACTAAAATAAAAAAAAAAAAAAAAGAAAAATAGAAAAAAGCAATGAATAACCAAATTATAATCTAAAAAAAAAATAATAAATTAAATAAAAAAATAATAAAAAAAAATAATAAAAAATAATTTTTTTTTTTTTTTAAATTTTTTTAAAATTTTTTTTAAATTTTTTTCAAAAAAGATTTTTTTTTTTTTTTTTTTTTTTTTTTATCATAACAACCTTCTTACTAATTTATTTGTATATAAAAAAAAGTTATTAATACTATTTTTTTTATATATTTTTTTAAATTTTGTGTTTTTTGTTTGTTTTTTTCTGTTTTTGTTTTTGTTTTTTATATATTATATATATATAATCGTAAATTTTGATATTTCACTCGTATCAAAGTTTATTATTAAAAGAAAACAACTTCACCAACCCACCACTTCCCATTTAATCTTTTTATAAAAAAGAAGTTCTTTACATCTATCAATATAGCATTCATATATCTATAATCTATATTATTCATATACACCAAAATGCAATCAATTCAACAACAACAACAACAACAACAACAATTAAACGGATTCACCGTTTTCGTTGGACACATCCCAAGTTCAATGAATGAAGAAGGTGTCTCAAACATCTTTGGTAAATTCGGTAACATTATTGATATCACCATCATTAAAGATAAAAGAACTAATGTTTCAAAAGGTAATTAATTAATACCCCACCAACCACTTTTTTCATTTTTATTTTTTTCGGTTTCAATTGAAACTCAATATACAAAAAATAAAAGCAAAAAAGAAATATATGGTCTCGAATTTTTTATTTTCTAATTATTTATTTTAAAAATTTTATAATTATAGGTTGCGCTTTTATTACCTTTTCAACTAAAGAAGAAGCTGATATGGCTATTAATACCGTCAATGAAAGCAATACTTTCCTTGAAAATGTAAGTTATAGTTTAGATACAAATAATAATATAAATAATAATAATAATAATATAAAAAAAAAAAACGAAAAATATAAAAAAAAATAAAAAATTTAAATTAAACAAATAAAACAAATAAAATTAAAATAAACAATAATAAAACAATTAATTTTGAATAAAATAATTAATATATTTTTTTTTTTTCATTTTAATATAAAAATTTATAAAATATTTTTAGATGAATAAACCATTACAAGTTAAATATTCAGATAATGAAATTGAAAAAATGGAAAGAAAACTTTTCATTGGTATGTTAGGAACAGCCGATGAAGATCAAGTTCGTCAAATTTTTGGTAACTTTGGTATAATTGAAGAATTAACTGTTGTCAGAGAAAAAGATGGTAAACCAAAAGGTTATGGTTTCATTAAATTTTCAACCAGAGACGAATCTGAAAATGCTTTAAGAGAACTTGATCAAAAACACACCGTTCCAGGTTCAAATTTACCATTAATTGTTAAATTTGCTGACACTGAAAGACAAAAGCGTAAGAAGTTACTTGGTCAACCAACTCCACAACAACCATCATTCAGTTTTTATCAACAACAACCACCACAAACTGGCTATCCATTTTTCTATGGTCAAAACCAACAAATGGCCCAAGCTATGAATGGTTACCGTAATTACCAACAACCAAACATGAATTTTGGTATGATGCAAAATCCAGCTTTTGATTGTAAGTTTTAATACAATAATATTTTTTTTTTTAATTATTAATCGATTGTACTAATCAATATTTTATTATTTTGTTATTATTGCTAATTTTAGATTCACAACAACAAAACCAACAACAACAACCATCAGAATCAAATGATTTATTCATTTATTACCTTCCATTCACTTATGGTGATGAAGAATTAAAACAACTTTTCTCTCCATACGGTAATGTAGTTAGCTCTAAAGTTTTCATTGATAAGAATACCCAACAATCAAAATGTTTTGGTTTTGTATCATATGACAACACTCAATCTGCTATTCAAGCCATTCAAGAATTAAATGGTCGTGCAATTGAAGGAAAGAAACTCAAAGTTAATTTCAAAAGAGAAAAACAATTTTAAAATTTTCAACAACAGTATTAATAATATTAGCTTTATCAATAACAATAGCATCTCACAACAACAACAACACCAACGACACAATACCACCACACAACACAACACACCACAACACCAACAACAATAAAATAAATAACAACCTTTTTTCTTTTAAACTATAAAATTAAAAATTAAAAAAAATACTAAAAAAACTAAAAAATACAAAAATCAATCTTTTTTTAATAATTCATTAATAATATAATAATATTTTTAAAATAATCAAATTCTATATTTTATTTATTTTTTTCTAATTATCTCACAACCCATAATTCACTTTCCAAAAATAATTTAATTTTTTTTTTAAAATTTATCAAATCCCTCAAATTATTTATTTAAATAAATTAAAAAAAAAAAAAAATGTATTATTAATCAAAAAAAAAAAAAAAAAAAGAAAAAAAAACAAATAAATTAGTTTTATTATTTGTTTTATTACCATTAAAAATATATTTTTTTATTTCTTTGAAATGATTATTATTATAAAATAATATCCTTTAATTTTGATTTTGTCATTTCCAAAGATTGTCTGTGATTTTTTTTTTTTGTTTAATTTTGTTATTTCATTTTTGATTTACAAAGAACTAAAAAGAACCTTACTCCTTGCCACATCGTCTGAATCTATGTGTATGTATGTGATTTAAAAGATGTGTCAGTTAAGGCATTTATTTGTAAAATATAATTTCACACAATAGTTTTCAAATAAAAGATTATTGGTGGTGTGTTGTGGGTGTAGTGGTGAGGTGTGGTTAGTTGTGATTAGCACAAAATGATTATGGACAAGGTCCCAAAATAAAGATATCAAAATCAAAAAAACACAAACACTAAATAAATTTTTATTAAATTTTTTTTTTTTTATTTTTATTTATTTTAATATTCTTATCATTTTTTTAAGAGCTCACGCAAATATTGTGGGCATTAAAATAACATTTTGATATCAAATGTCAGTTGAAATTTTTTAAATTTAATTTAAAAAAAAAAAAAAAAAAAAAAACTTTTTAATCTTGAATAATATAACACATGTATTTTATTATTAGGCTCATGGTTTTATAATAAAATAATAACAACAACAATGTAAAAAAAATCTTAACACATGCAACAAAAAATCAAAATAAAATAAATTAATAAAAAAAATAAAATAAAATAAAATAAATATTCTTACCGATTTTTTTTTTTTTTTTTTTTTTTTTTTTTAAATTTTTATTAACTGCCCCTTCTATCACCAAAATAAAATTTAATGAAAACAGTACGAAAATATGAAAAATAATATGAGTTTTTTAATTTCCATTATAAATAAAATCGAATTATAATAAAAAACCCTAACAGTTTCATAAAATCTATTTTTTAGACTTATTAAAAACTGCAATGCTGTTTAATTTATTATTTTAAAAATCTTTCAGTAATTCTGTGTGGTTAAAGGTCTTAATAAAAATATTTGATGTCAAAACAATTCAATATAAAAAAATTCTATCATCAAAATTAAAAAAAAAAAAAAATTAAAAAAAAAATAAAGAATAATGGAGTAATACTCTCTTTCTAACTACCAATTATTTAATTTTAATTTTTTTTATTATTTTTATAATTTTTTTTTTCTTTTATAAAAAAAAAATATTTAAACCTTTCTAAAAAATCAATTCAAAACATTTCATTTTGTTTTTGTTTTTGTTTTTTATTTGTGTAGTATCTTTAATATCTACGTAGTTCTCCAAAGTCGAAAATTATTAAATTTAAATAAACTAGAAATAATAATTACAGATTTATTTGTTTTTATTTTTTTTATTTTTTTATTTTTGGTTTTTTTTTATTTTGTGGGTTCAACAACAAAAACACAATTGTGTTATTAGTGGTGTTATTAGTTATTTATACTTAACAGAGTCACCCAATACACATTCAGTATCATTACTTTGTACTAATTAAATTATTAATTTTTTTTCATTCCACAAACCCCACCCACCACACTTTCTACTTTTTTTTTTTTTATTTTCCCCCCACTTTTCAAAAATTAATTATTATTTTTTCTTTTTCATAAATATTTTTTTTTAAAATTTTTATATTATTTTATATTTTGGTGTGTGTTCACAACAATTATATTTTATTTTAATTTTTTTATAATTATACTGTTGTTAAATTATATCTATATTTATATAAAATATTCTTATTTTTTGTATAAACCTTTGTTTTTGTTATAAGAATTTGTTTTTTTTTGTGATTAAAAATCTTTTAATCATTTATTTATTTTATAAAAATTATTATATTTTAAATTTATATACTCTAGTGTATAGTTATATATAATATTTTTCGATTACTTTTTTTTCATTTATTTATTTATTTATTTATTTTCCAATTTATAAAATAATTATTGTAAGTTTAACTTTTTACAAAAAAATATAAATATTTATTTTCATTTATTAACTTTCATTTTTTTAATTTAATTTTAATATTAAAATTTTTAATAATACAGAAGTGTAATATTATTTAAAAATGAAGTTAAATTGGTTATCAATTTTATTAATTTTTATATTATATATTTCGAATGGTATGTATTTATATATATTTTTTTTTACTAATTTATGTAAATTTTTTACTAATTTTTACAAAATTTTTTTATTTCATTTTTTATAGTTTTGTCATATATAAGTACATGTAACGGTCCAGATATTTATACAGAAAATTTAAAGAAATGGAGTGATGTATCTTCGTGGACATCTGGCAAAGTACCTGTTGAGGGTGATATGGTCCAAATTCCAAGTGGAGATAGTATTTTATTAGATGTTTCAACTCCAAGATTAACCCAAATATGGATTCAAAGTGGTGGCCAATTGATTGTTAGTTCAAGACATGGTCCATTAGAAATTACTACTGATGGTATTTTAATTGAAGGAAGATTCGATATTGGTGACGATAATTGTCGTTTCAACGAAAGTATTACAATTACACTTACTGGTATCGAAGGACAAGGTTATATTGAATCTAGAGGTGATTTCCTTCAAAAGTATGTTGGTGTTTTAGCTGGTGGTAGATTAGAAATCCACGGTTATCTTAGTTATCCTATCCCAACATGGACCAAGCTTACAAAAACAATTACTACTGGTGCTACCATTCTTAATTTATTGGATGATGTTAGCAAATGGCCAGTTGGTAGTCAAATTGTTATTGGTTCAACCGATTTTGATATGTACCAATCCGAAGAAGTTTATACACTCGATTGTCCAGAATGCACAAATTATCAACTTAAAATTAATGGTACAAGATTTTACCATTTCGGTGCTATCACTTATGGTGTCGATGAAAGAGCTGAAGTCGGTCTTTTAACTAAAAATATTGTAATTAGAGGTGAAATGCAACCATCATGCAATGGTTCCGCTTTATGCAATTACTTTAATTTCGATGGTTTTGGTGGTCATGTTAGAGTTGCTAAAGGTTTTGGTTCAGTTCATCTCCAAGGTATTGAGCTTTATCATATGGGTCAAATCTATAATGTTGGTTTTTATCCAATTCATTTCCATATGTGTGGCGATGTAGATACAGGAAGTTATTCTAATTGGCCAACCTTTGTCAAAGATGTATCAATTCATCATACATTCTCACGTTGTCTTACAATCCATGGTACAAGTGGTCTTATTGTAGTTAGCAATTTTGCTTATGATCATTATGGTCATTGCTATTTCTTTGAAGATGGAAGTGAAACAAGAAACTATTTAGATTCAAATGTTGGTTTGGTTACTCGTTATGGATACATCTTGCCATCAGACAGAAGTTGTGAAGTTTGCCTTTACGTTAATCCAAAAGACTACAATGGTAATGCTCTCGATTGTGGTACATGCGAAGCTGTTGCTACTTTCTGGATCACAAATCCAGATAACTACTTAAGAAATAACATTGCTGGTGGTAGTGAAAATACAGGTTTCTGGTTCCTTATTCCAGAGGGTGTCAGTGGTCTTTCTGCCTACCTCCCACAATACCAAAATATTCATGCTGAATTTATTCCAATTGGTAGTTTTAATGGAAATAAAGCCCATTCAAATGTTTTACAAGGTTTAAATATAGACCAAGGCCATCAAATTCATCAACAAAATGCTACCTATCCAAATCCATACCTTTCAATGACTTATTCTCGTTATAAACCAAGAGTAGATCCACTTAACCCATGGACATCAGAACGTGCAACTGCTTTAGTATATGGTTACACTGGATATAAAAATAAATGGAGAGGAGCTTGGGCTCGTGGAGGTGATGTTGTATTCCATTCATCATATTTCTCTGAAAATGCAATTGGTCTCACTATGGGTTCAGAAGGTGTTATGCAAGCTGATGCCGGTTCAACTCAACAATGTATTGGTTGTACTTTTATTTTAGAAACCGAAAATGTTGGTATGTCTACCAATGGAGTTAACACTTACGGAGGTGTAACCATTCCAGCATGGTATGAGTTTACCCAAAGAGGTTTAGAGCTCTATGATGGTCCATTTGTATGTCAATATTGTACATTTATTAATTTCAATACTGATGGTAATAGAATTACAAGTGGTATTGGTTGGTTCTTATATGACGATTGGATTTTGGCTTCAACCACAACTTTTAGCGGCACTACTTTCCAAAATACAAATTTAGCAGTTCACAATCTTCCAAGTAATTATGATGGTGCTAAAAATCAAATTTTCCACGATGCTGACGGTACCATTACAGGCACTTATGACTCTTATGTAGTTCCAAACGTTCCATACTTTTATTCACCAAAATGTGTTGCAAATACTTTGTGGAACACAACCGTTTGTACTGAAAAATTTGCAAGTTTATATATATATAACAAAGATCTTTCAGCAAGCAGTATCCCAAATGGTGCAGGTGTAATCATGATTAGAGATGAATATTCGTACTATCGTCATTACCTTCAAGGTGTTCCAAATACATCGCCAAGAAGTACATTTATGCCATTGGTTATGCTCGGTAAAAGCTACACAATGCATTTCCCACACCCAACCCCACCACATCTTCAAGTACAAATGACTAATTTTAATGCAAACGATTCAACTGTTGTTGGTATTTGTTATCCAACCTGGGGTGTTACATTTGAAATTACAAAACAAGTTATTGTTAGTAATTGGGCCGCTGTAACTGAACAGGTTGTTATGGTAGATTCTCTTGACGCTGTTAAAGCTGACCCTAAAGGTTTGTCTGCTTTCTATGACTCCAATACTGGTCTCCTCTTCCTCAATGTAATTCAAGAAAGAACTCGTGAATGGAATTATTACTGTCCAGAATTGGGTTGTGAAACTTATGATATTCAAATTAGTGGTTTAGGAGTTAATACAAATACTGGTGATTGTTCCTATTTAGCTTATCCAACCTATGCTAAAATGTCCTATGCTACCCGTGGTGGTTGTAATGGTTCACCAGATTTAGTTATCGATGCTTGTGGTATTTGCGGTGGTGATGGAAAATCTTGTAATGCAAAAGAAAATGCAGTTGCCGAAGGTAATAGCGATGCATCATCATTACTATCAAAACATTTGTCAAAACTTTTATTCTCTATATTTATAATTTTATTTATCACAATTATGTTTTTTAACTAATTTTTAAAAATAAATTATAATACAATAATGTATTAATAAATTTAATAAAAATAATTTTTTTATTAAATTCAAATTTAAATATATTAAATACTTTTAATAAGAGTTCAAAAATTTCTATATTTCTTTTTATTAGATGTTTTTTTGATGTTTTACTTACCATGAGGTATGTTTGACCAGGATTATAAAAAATAATTAAATAAAATATGTAATAAATATTTTTGTTTATAAATATATAAAAGATAACTAGTTAAACAATAGATAAATTATTATAATAAAAAATAAAACTATTCATAAAAAATACAAATTTTTTAATTTAATAATTGTGGAAGTTAAAGAAAAAAAAAATAATAAAATTAAAATAAAAATAAATTTTCAATCTTTTTTTAACTAAATAATTTTGATAAATAGATAATTATATATTCATCAGAATTAAACTTATAAATTATTAAACTATATAGAAATAATATTTGAAATTAATTAATCTTTATTTTTTTAAATCTTTAACTTAGTATTCAGGATATCATTTAAAAGAGAATTTAATGAATTTTTCAAATCAAAATATAGATTTAATTAAAAATCTAAATTTAAAAATATAAAATTAATAAAGTCTATATAACTATTACAAATTAAATAAAATATAAAATATCTCACATTATATTAAACAATTGAATATTTTTAATTTTTTTTTTTATAATTTATTAAAATTTTTAAATTTCTTTTTTTTTTTTTTTTTTTTTTTTTTCATTTATTAAAATTAAAGCTTTCATTCACACACACACTCGTTTTTTTAAATCCAGCTTATATTATTTTTTTTTACATTAAACCATATAATTATTTTTTTATTTTTTACACCTATATACATTTTATTTTATTTTAATTAATTATTTATTTTTTAACAAAAATGGATCAATTAACTTTCGATATTTTATATTTATTTTTTGTTTTTTGCTTTTTTACTATTTGGTTTGGTTCAATAATATTCGAAAAATCCAATTACATAAGTTGCAAAAACTCTACTATAAAAGGTAAAAAATGCGATTACTGTATCTCTAATGACGAATTCATAGAAAATCAAGAAAAGCTACGTCAAAGATTTGCACAGATACACTATAGACCATATTATCAGCGACAATATCAGTTATATCAACAGATGCTATATCAACAAGAACAAGAACGTCTAATGCTTGAACAACAAGAACAAGAACGACTATATCAACAACATCTAATAGTTCGAAAACTTTTTAATAAACATTATCAGTTGCAATTACAACTAGAACATAACCATCGAAAAAAACAAAGCCAAGTTAAATGAAAATTTATCAACACTATTTAAACCTAGAAACTTTTAGATAATCAATTATAACAATAATTTAAAAAAAAAAAAAAAAAAAAAAAAAAAAAAATAATAATATTAGATTTTAGATTCAAAACATTCAATTTTATAATTTAAAATAATAATAATAATAATTAGTTCAAAATATAATCAAAATAGTATTAATATTAAAATAGACTCAGCTTTATTTAAACCAACTTAAAAAGATTTAAACTAGTCAACCCAAATGAAACTTTTCAATCTAATCAAATGCTTTATGCACATTATATCTATCAAATTTCTCTGGCCAAGTAAATATGGTAGAATATTAGATAAAGAAAAATATTTAGTTGACCCTATTTTAAGTTTGGTATAGAATGCAAAATCTAGGAAACATAACCAACATTCGAACAACCATGATCAATCAAATTACCATGGCACCAAAACATCAATTATATACCATTTCCAAAGTTTATTACTGGTTTAATTAGAAACAATATTCAAAATTATTTTCAACTCCATCAGACCAATAGAAAATAATTTCAGTGGGATACTGAAACATAATAAAATTTTTAAAATAAAATAAAAAATATAAAATTTGATTAAAAATAATAAAAATAGTTTTATAAATAATAATAATAATAGTAATAATAGTGATATTAAAAATAATATAGTTGCAATGAAGAAATGTTAGAACAACAACGTGTTATATTTAAAAACAAATTTAAAGAGATTATAGTAGATGAAATACCAGTTGTAGATGTACCAAGTCGAAGTGGTTATGATATGTGTATTAAAGTTAAACCAGGTAGTAAGCCAATTAAAAGAATAGCTAGAATCATATACCTGAAGTAAAAGAGAAAACATTTAACGAAGTAAAGAGATTATTAAGCTTTGCAGACAACCTAAAGGTATTATTGAAGAGTGCGAATCAGATTATTGTTTAATACCGTTTTAGGTTAAAGATCCTAGTGGTAAAGAAAGATTAGTTTTGACTTTAGGTCAATTAACGAACAGACAACCGAGTTTGCTTTTCCCATGCCGAATATCAACGACATGTTTTCAGACAAAATGGTTAAGAGTATACTGTGCAAAAGAACATTAACAGCAGTGAAAGCCGCAAAGCTTTTTTGGGGTAATATAGTTTGCGTTTATGGTTTACCGTTATCAATCGTTAGTGACAATGACAAATTATTTAAATCAGATTTATGGAAGAGTATAATGGCAAGCACAGGTATTAAAATGAAATTAACAGCTCCGGGTCGTCCACAAGCAGATGGTCAGTTGGATAGAACAAATGGAACAATTAAAGAGACCCTATCCAAAGCAAAGGCAAAAAGGGATAGATGGGATGAAGAGTTATCAAATATAGAATAGCACAAGATAATTTATTTGAAGCTCAAGTAAAACAAGAAGTTCAGTTTAATAAGAATAGAAAAGAATTAAAAATAGAAGAAAATAGTTTAGTTTTGGTCAAGAGATGCGTTTTAAATACAATTAAGAATATAGTAGCACAGGATCAATTCAAATTATTACCGAAATATTCAGGTCCATTTAAAGTTATAAAGAGGAAAGAAAATACAAACAATTATAAACCATTAGTAGATGAAATTGAAAAGATCATTAAAAGAAGAATCCGTAAATATGGCAAAGGTGAAAGAATAGAATATTTAATCAGATATAAAAATTCAAATGAAGATAATGATACATGGGTACCAAATTTTTATTTAGAAGACGAATGTGAAGATATGGTTAATAGTTTTGAAGCCGATTACAGAGATGTTGGTAAATCAATTCAAGTTTAAAAAAAAGAAAAAAATAAAAAAAGTTATTAAGTTATAGTATTTTAGTTCAAACCAGTAATTTTAGGCTCCGCTTAGGAAGGGGATGTGTAATGAACAAGGATCATTACTCAATAATAATCAATATTAATTAATAATAATTAACAATTATTTTAATTCATCAAAAAAAATTTTTTTAAAAAAATAAATTTTTAAAAAAAAAATAAAAAAATAAAAATAATAAAAACTTTTTAGTTTTTGAATTTTACAAATTCATAAACATTTCATATAAATTTTATTTTATTTAATTATTTGATCTTAGTACCTTACAAAATATTTTTTTTTAATTTTTTAACGTTCTTTTTTTTGGTACACTTGTTTTTTTTTTTTTTTTTTTTTTTTTTTTTAAAAGTGAAGATAATTAAAAGCAAATGCTTTAAATTAATCAGTAAAATGGTACACTTGTAGGAAATTCGTTCGACCACTTGGCTATCATTGTTCCCCAGGTACACTTGTCGGTTAAAATTGGAACTTTTCAAAAAAAAAAAAAAAAAAAAAAAAAGTTTATCATCAGGAAGATACATTTTTCCTTTTGAAATCTAAAAAATACTGGTTCTACTGAGACTCGAACTCAGATTACGGGATTCAAAGTCCCGGGTGCTAACCAATTACACTATAAAACCTCGTATGAAAATTTTGTGTAATGAAACAGTATCAACATCTTTAAGGTGATTTTTATAATTAACAATCCTAAAATAGCAATAATTAATTTTATAATAATATTCTTAAAATAGTAATAATTAGTTTTATAATAATATCTCTTAAAATAGTAATAATTAGTTTTATAATAAATAACTCTTAAAATAGTAATAATCTTCCATAAATAATATATTTAGTTGAAAATGTCACATGTTTAACATATATATACATTCATGTCAACTTGTTTATGACACTATAAATACTCCAGTAATAATTCTTTATTAAACATTATTATCATCTTCTAACTTCTAATAATAATAACAATTAATAATATAATAACTAAAATACTTAAATAAAGGTTTCTTTACTATATTTCTTTATTAACTTAATAGGGGGTCAATTCATTACATTTGGCGACAGCTCGACAGAACCTAAAGGAATTAAAAGGGAAGGGATAAATATAGAAATAATAATTAGAGATATAAAAATAAAAAATAAAATTATAAAAAAAAAAAGTTAATAAAATTAAATTTAAATTTTTACAAACACACACCCCAGTTTAAAAGTATATAATAGAATAAATATTTAAGAAATAATATAGTTTTGTGTTTTCTCGAGTTATAGTTTTATAAAATCTATAAAAAAAAAAATTTAATAAAATAAAATTAAAATAATGTTTAAAAACACAACAGTTAATAAAGATAGTAAACCTTTAAAAAATAATAGTAGTGAAAGTAGTAGCAGTAGTGATAAAATAACGCCAACAAATAATTTAAGTAATAATGATAATAATCCATCAGGTTCAAATATTAATACATCAGGTTTAGGAAGAAGTGATGAATTTAAAGAATATTTGTTAAAAGAGATAGCTATTCTCAAATTAGAAAACGATAGATATAGAAATCAAAGTTTTGGGTATGAAAGAAAGAGAAAACCATTGTCAGAAGATGCAAAATTTGTAGGAGGTTTTTCAATGGGTTTTGAAAAAACATGGGATTTATTCGAATTCCAATTTAGATATCATTTTGGTCCACGTTTTGATAATTCAGATTTAATTTCAAGTTTAAAAGGTGACGCATTAATTTATTTACAAAGAACAGATCCAAATGGAAATAAGACTGCAGAAGAGAATTTAGTACAGTTAAGAAAACATTATCAAGATCTCCCTACTACATTATTACTTAAATTTAGTGAATTTACCAGGACGGGCAAATTCGAATCATTAGAACGTTTATTATTAGTCTTCGATACAGTTCGTACGAGAGCAAAATTATCAGATGATGCTGCAATAGTCACTCTTAAGACAGCCCTGGGTATGAATTTCTCAAAAGCTTTAATGGTAGATATTTCAGATGTAGAAGGTTATACATCATTTCAGAAATTTAGTGAAAAAATCGTTCGTCTCGAAAAGAATTATCAATTAACAATGGGTAAATCTCTTTATTTACGCCAAGATGAAATTCAAGGTGTATTTGGTGCCAGTGTTTCAAGTTCAGGATTAACTCCAGTAGTCAGTAATGAAGTAGCAGTAATAGATGTCAATAGAAATAGTGGGGTTAAATGTTTTAATTGTGGTAATCCAAATCATTTAGCTAGAGAATGTAGAGAAAAGTATAATAATAGTAATAGAAGAGATAATTATCAGTCAAAGTATAACAATTATAATAATTATTCAAAATTCAATAGAAATAATCAGACAAAATATAATAATTATATAAGATTCAGTAATAATAGATCAAATAACAATAACTATAGATCAAATAATGGTAACAATAGAAATGATTCAAAAAATAATTACAAAAGAAATAACACAAGTAATAATTCATCAACTCTTAGTAGTGTTAATAATATAAGTAAAAAGGATAACATATGTGCAAATCTTATGTTTAATGGCATTCCAGTCAGAGTTTTAATAGATACAGGTGCAAGTATTTCATGTATGAGACAGTCATTAGTTGAAAAGTTGCATATTCCAGTTCGTTCAAGTATAAAGAAAGTTACAAGTGCAAGCAATCATTCAATGGCATCTCAAGGTGAAGCCGTATGCCAAGTCAGAATGAGAAATAAAATAAAATCATATATTAATTTCGAAATTTTTAAAGATCAAGACATTTCAGCCTCTTGTATTCTGGGTTTAGATGCTTTAAGATCTCTCAAATTAGATCCAATAGTTACAAAAATGAAATTATATTCATTTAAGCATAATCAATATGTCCCAATGTATTCTTATACAGAACAATCAGTTCAAGCAATTGCAAAGACTCCAGCAAGTAATAAATCAAGTGAGAATGCTACATTCAATCAAGACTTATTTGACTCACTTATTATTCCACCAGATCAAATTTATAGTGTAAATCGTTTACACATCGAACCAACAGTCTTACATTTTGAGCCAGTTCAAGAACCATCATTAAATAAAGTCGACTCATCATTGGTAAATAATAAATTATTTAATAATCAATCTTCAAAAACAAATAATAATATTCAATCACATTCAAAAGATAGCAATAATAATAATATTCAAACATCATCAGCTCATATTAATAATAGTATTAAGGATAATCAACAATCACCATTAGATAATAATAATAATAATCATGATGATAATAACAAAAGTAAAAATAATAATAATAAAGTCGAAGATATTGTCAAATTTAATAAATATAGTATAGAATTATTAGAAAAGATCGATTTTAGTCCACAGCCATATCAAAAAGAAATAGTAACACCACCAAGACCAGATATAGATTTTAAAGTAGCGCAAGATAGTTCAATTATTTTAACACCTCAACAAGCAAAATTCGTTCAATTAAAGAAAAATTATTCAGAGATTATTCCAGAAAAGTTAAAGAAAGAAAGTCTAGCAAAAGAAATATTTCATAGTATCCCATTCATAGACGGTACAGAAGAATCAAAACTTCATCAAGCACCATATCCAGTTTCAGCTGTTATTAATTATCATTTAATAGGTGACATCCGTAAGAAAAATAAAGTAACGAAGAAGATGGGTACTCAAAGGTTAAAACAAAGCAAAGTTAGAACAAAATTAGTTAATAGGGTTATATTTTCAGCCATAGATTTATTCAAAGATTATTACCAAATTCCAATTAGTAAAAAAGACATGTATAAAACAGCCAGTGTCACTTATCGAAGTTTTTATGTTCATTTGGTGAAGCCATTCAGTCTATGTAATGCTCCAGCTCTTTTTAAAGGGGGAGATATGTAATGAAACAGTATCAACATCTTTAAGGTGATTTTTATAATTAACAATCCTAAAATAGCAATAATTAATTTTATAATAATATTCTTAAAATAGTAATAATTAGTTTTATAATAATATCTCTTAAAATAGTAATAATTAGTTTTATAATAAATAACTCTTAAAATAGTAATAATCTTCCATAAATAATATATTTAGTTGAAAATGTCACATGTTTAACATATATATACATTCATGTCAACTTGTTTATGACACTATAAATACTCCAGTAATAATTCTTTATTAAACATTATTATCATCTTCTAACTTCTAATAATAATAACAATTAATAATATAATAACTAAAATACTTAAATAAAGGTTTCTTTACTATATTTCTTTATTAACTTAATAGGGGGTCAATTCATTACATTTGTAATGAAGCTCTATACAGCTTACAAATAATTAAGTATATATATGTAAAATAAGTATAACAAATAAATAACAAATAACAAATATTATATGTGTAATGAAATTGTAGTTTATTGAATAATAGAATAAAAAACCTCTCAAGTTTTAGACTGAGGACTTGAGGTATTTATACTGAATGAGATTGGTTCTAGAAGCTTTTTCTTAAGTTAGTTGGAAATACTGGAATTGGTAGTTACTAAGCAGTAGTTAGTAAACAGCAGCTAGTGACTATTAATAAGTCTAGGGTCATAGCGTTAATATAGCGATATCATAACAGTATATATATGGTCGGACGGGGGGAGCAGTTATACTACAATTTGTAATGAATCAGTAGTCTATATCTTTAAAGTGATTATATTTAGCTACGTAATTGTTTTGTCATCATTAGCCACGTCAATATTATGTCATACTAGCCACGTCAGCATTAACCACCTCATTATATATGCAAAAAAGTATTTAAACCCAAAAGAATATAATTTTATAGTCAGTTAATTTTAGAGTTGTTTTAGAGTTAAGTTTAGAGATGTTATAGAGATAATTTTATAGATAGTTTTATAGATATATATAAGTAATAAAGATAATTAATAAATAAAGTATATTTTAGTGTTATTCGCATTCTCATAATTGTTTTAAGTGTTTTTAAGTAATTTAAGTGTTTTAGTGTTTATTATTTAGTTAGTGTTAATATATTTTGTTGCGTCTCCATAAGTATTTATTTTAGAGTTTATTATATTTTCGTTAAGTATTTTATTTGTGTTACTTCGTCATAATCATATACCTTTTCATTACATTTTTAAGGCAACTGATCAGCTCAATTAAAAAAAGTTCTGAAAAGAAAAAGAGCCAATAAAAAAGATTCATTTAATGAACAAAGATCTTTACTTATAATTAAAAACCAATTAATAATAAACAAAAATTATTTTAATTTATAAAAAAAGAATTTTAAAAAAAAAAAAATTTTAAAAAATTAAAATATAAAAAACTATTTAGTTTTCGAATTTAATAAACAATTTCATACAAGGGGAGCGATTCATTCAATACAGTCCTTAGTGTATCATTAGAATTATTATCACTTTTAAAAAAAAAAATGCAAGTTTTCAGAATCACCCACGAAACCAATTAAAAAAGGTAGAAAAAAATATTTTTTTATTTTAAATTATAAAATACTATTTAATGGTTAAAATCTTTACAAAAGTTTGAATTTTTTATTTTGGTTTGTGTTGATCTAATAACAATCTAATAATTGGTTGTTTACAGATTTCATCACGTATTAAAGAAGGTGAAGAAAATTTACCAGAAGCTAAAAGTAAAGCAACAGGAACAATTGATTTAATCTTTGACTCTTCACAGTATTCAATGTGACGATAAACTGGTAACTCTAAAATTTCTTGAGGTATATCGTTTATTGAATTGATGGAGTAAACTGAACAAATTAAATATTTACGGGCTAATTCCTCGTCATTTAACTTCATAATACTGTTGATAATTCCACATGATCTATAAAAGAGTTTATTATTTGTTAAACCTAAATCAATCATTCTATTACCATAAACTTTACCAGCCAAAACAAAACCACCAGTAGTTAAAGAATTTAAAATCCATTTCAATGATATTTCATAGAAACATGGTAAGCCGCTGATGATTTCGCTATTGCTTAATTGAATTTTAATAAAATTGATATTGGAGGTAAAATTTGAATTTGAGAGCTCTGTAATTTCCTTGTCTAAAATTTTGTCATCATTATTATCTTGTTTGAAGTAAATGAGATTGACTGATTGGTTTGGTTTAATATGTTGAATTAATGATGGTACTATTTCACTCTTGAATTGGTTTAATTGTTGAATTGAGCCAATGCTAATTACGATTGTATCATCCTGTGTTGTATTTGGTAAGACTCTGTTTGTAAAATCTTTTTGGGAGATTTTATATTGATCTGAAACACTTGAAAGGTCACCTTCACGGTTATTCATAACTGACCAACCCTCTTCACCACTGCTATTCATAAGGAAACCACAAACATCTAATGGACGAGCTCCAAAAGTAGGAAGGGTTTCGGATGCATCGATAAAACCAACAATACCTAATGACTCTGGTGCTAAATAATATAAGTGAGAACGCTTCTTTAAACTATTTCCGACTGATTCAATTACTTTTGATAAAGGCTCGATATTGTAATATGTTTCTCTGCATGTCTGTTCGTAATTTTTTAAGATTAAATAGTATTTTGATTTTAGTGAGTGTTGTTGATGATCACCATTGAGCTGTAATTTGAATTCATTTGATTTCCAATGATTTAAAACTAATGAAAAAATTAGTTCGATTAAAATCTTTGTACCTGAACCAGATTTCATTCTTGTTGAACCAGTTAATGGTTCTGGGCCAAAAATTGGATTTAAAATAAAATAATTTCTAGATTTTGATTCTTGCTGATGCTTTAATTTGTTTAATCTTTCGACAATATCATTGAATGAATATTCCCACTTTTCGATTTTTAACTTTCTTGCTAATTCTATTGGGTTAAAGCCCATTAATGAGATGATGTGTTGTTTTTTGGCATTTTCTTTTGTATTTTCATTTAAAAGGAAATCTAATTGAGCTGCTACATAAGGTGCACTAAAACCACAGGTAATACCGATATATACTATAATTTCCTTGTCATTTTCTTGGTTTAATTGCGATTTAATATCATTTACAGCTTGATGGATATTATCTTCAGCACCTTCCATACCAACAGTTAAGCATAAATCGCCACCTGCAATTAAATAGTTGAATTTAACTTGGTTTTCATATCCTTTTTCTTTGAGTATTTTATTGAAAGAACGAGAAATAAAGAAAGCTAATCTGCCACTTGTACCTGCACCAGTTGATACCACATTGATGGAAAAACCTTGATTTAATTGTTCAACTATTCTTTCAACCAATAAAATAACTTCCTCTTCTATCTCTTTATCAACAATAGATTGATAATCCAAATAACCTGAAAAAATTTGTGAATCGCATTGTCTTAGTAATCTAAGTATACCCAAACTATTAACTTTATCTAAATCAACTGATAATTCATTAACTTTTTCTGTAATTGATGTCATTATTAATTATTTATATTATTTATTAAAATGTTAATAAAAACATCATATGAAAAAAAAAAATAAAAAAATTGTTTTTGAATTTAAAAAAAAATTAATTTTAAAAAAAAAATTTTTAAAAAATAAAATATTATAATAAAAATTACGAAATAGGAATTTTAATTATCCCATTGAATCTTGTTATATATCCTGGGATATTTATATTATTATAAATACATATTTATAATAATAATTTTTTTATTTATTTATTTATTTATTTATTTATTTTATTAATTTTTATTTAAAAAAATTAATTTTCCTAATATATACATTGTGTTTATCTGTATGATGATATTTTTCTTAGAGATATATAGTTTTGTTTAACATTATCTGTAAGTGAGTGAATTAATTGATAAACCGATGAATCATAATACCTTAGTGATGATGTTGGATCGACATAATTTGACTGGATATAAATAAAATAAATAATTTGTTAGCAATCTTTTTATATCCCATTGGTAATATTAATTAAATATTAATTAAAAACTTACTATTAAACCAGTAATATCGCAATATTTTCTAACGGGTTGTAGGGTTTGAGAAACTTCAATATTTTGATAGGTTGGGAATAATGGTGAAGGTGGTACGGGCTCGGTGGCTAAAAGTTGTTTGAGTGATTTATATGGCTTCTTAAGACTTTCAACTTGAAATGAAAAATTGTTGTCTTTAAATGGATAAACTATTTCACCCTCTGTGGTCTCTACTGGTGCATTTTTCTTTCTTCCTGGCTTTTTTTTAGATGATGATGAATTTGGCTGTGGTGGTGGTGATCCTGGTGAATTTAAATTGGAAGGTTGTTGTTTCTTTGGTGTTGTTATTTTTGATTTCTTTGTTACTGCCGATTTACCAGCTGATACTTTTTTCTTTTTAACTGTTTTTTTATCTTCATCACTTAAATCATCTTCGTAATCATCACCCTCTTCATCGAGTGACATTATATCATTATCCTCACTTTCTTCAATTGAATCCTCATCCTCTTTAGCACTGGGAGTTTCTGAGCTACTAGTACTATTTGTTGTTGTTGTTACAGTTGCTGGTGTTGTTGTTGTTGTTGTTGCTGTAGCATTATCTGTATTAATTATTTCATCACCACCTATATCGACATCTTCCGATTCATTATCTGATAAAATTTCTTTTTTTGGTTTCTTGGTTTTTGCAATTTGTTTTGATTTACTTTTTTTAGGTTGTATTGTTTTTTTTACTCTTTTTTTTGTTGATGAATCTGAATCTGATATAGATGAATCATCATTTGATGATTCATTTACCTCCTCACCGCTTTCACTCTCTGAGAAATATGTATTATTACTAATTGGTTTTCTAACTCTTGTACTGACCATAATTTATAAATAAAAATAAAAATACTAATGATACAATTAAAAATAATTGTTAACAAAATAATTATATAATTTAAAAAAATAAAAAAAATAAAAATAAATTTTAAAAAAATAATATTTTGAAAAAATTAAAAAAAAAAATAAAAAATAAATAATTAAAAATTATTTTAAATATTTTATTTATTTATTTATTTATTTATTTATTTAAAATAATTAACCAACTTTGTAAATATTTTATACCCTTTCCTATAATACCCACACAATGTTTTGAAATAAGAAAATAAATAAACAAGTAAATATATTTCAAAAAATGTGTTATTTTTGATGAGATTCCTTTAATTTAATTTAAACCAAAATGAACCGCTTTAATAAAAAAAAAAAATTATTTTTAATTAATAAGAATTTTAAATTTTATTTGCATTTTATAGCAAAGATAAAACAAATAAAACAAATAAAAAATTCTTGATAAAGTAAATATCAAAAAAAAAAATTTATTATAAACAAAACTATGCTGCTTTGGCAAAAAAACATATCAAAATATTAATTTTTTTATTTGAAAATAAAAAAAAAAAATAAAAAAAAAAAAAAAAGTTTCAATTTTTTTTTTTTTTTTTCGTTTTTAAAAATTTTTTTTATTTATTTTTCAATATATACATTCATAACCTCCTTTAACTTTTTTTTTTTTTAAATTAAAAGAAGAGTTTAATTTTAAATTTTTAATATTCATTTTTTCATTTCCTCAAAATTTGAATTTTATAATTGTATCACTTTGTTATAATAGTAAAAATTTAATAGTTAGTATATATATAGATTTTTTTTTTAGAAAGACACTTTAAAAAAAAGAGGGAAAATAAAATAATTATGACATCATCAGTTAGCAATTTATTAACCTCCGATAAAGAGACTTTATGTCTTAGATCATGGAATGTAAATATCTATATGGAAATAAAAAAGAGATTTTAAATTAAAATAATATTAACTATTTTTAAAAAATTTTTATAGCCAAAAACCAAACCAATTGCCACAGTTACATTTATTCATGGTTTAGGTGAACATTCAGGTCGTTATGAACATGTTTTTAGCAAATTTGCAGATGAAGGTATCAAAGTTAATGCATTCGATCAAAGAGGTCATGGTGTTAGTACTGGTGTTAGAGGTCATTCACCATCACTCGAACAATCACTTAAAGATATTCAATTAATTGCATCAACTGCAGAATCAGACTTACCACATTTTATTTATGGTCACAGTTTTGGTGGTTGTTTAGCTCTCCATTATAATTTAAAAAAGAAAGATCAATCACCATCTGGTTGTATTGTTACCTCACCATTAATTAGAACTACATTCAAGGTTCCAGGTTTCAAACTTGCAATGGGTAACTTTTTTGGTAAAATTATGCCAACTGTTTCAACCTCCAACAATATTGATCCATCATTCATCTCACGTGACCCAGAAGCCGTCAAAGAATACAAAGAAGATAAATTAGTTCATGCTAAAATCACTCTTGGTATGGGTAAATGGTTACTTCAACGTTCAGAACAATTAATTGAATTAGCTCCAGAATTTGACACTCCATTATTATTAGTTCACGCTAATGATGATAAAATTACTTGTCCAAAAGCAAGTCAAACTTTCTATGATAGAGTTCCAAATAATGTAGATAAAACTCTTAAACTTTGGGAAAATATGTATCACGAAGTTCACAACGAAGTAGGTAAAGAAGAAGTTATCACTTATATCCTTGCTTGGATTAAAGAAAGAATTGAGTCAAAGAAATTATCAATTGAACAATCCGAAGCCACATCAAGCAATACTACCACCACTACTACCACTACTAGTGTTGAAGTACCAGTTGTTGCTGAAGTTAAAGTTGAAGTTAAAGAGGAAATTAAAGTTGAAGAAACCAAACCAACCGAAGAACCAGTTGCTGTTGCTGAAACTAAAGTTGAAGAGCCAGTTGCTGTTGTTGAAGAAACTAAACCAGCTGTTGTTGAGGAGGTCAAAGTTGAAGAGCCAGTTGTTGTTGAACCAGTTGTTGTTGAAGAAACCAAACCAATTGAAGAACCAGTTGCTGTTATCGAAACTAAAGTTGAAGAGCCAGCTGTTACTGAAGAACCAACTAAAGTTGAAGAGCCAGTTACCGTTGTTGAAGAAGTTAAAGTCGAAGAAACAATTGCTGTTGAACCAGTTGCTGTTGTCGAAACTAAAGTTGAAGAACCAGCCGTTGCTGAAGAACCAACTAAAGTAGAAGAACCAGTTGTTGAAGAACCAACCAAAGTTGAAGAACCAGTTGTCGAAGAAACCAAAGTTGAAGAGCCAGCTGTTGTTGAAGAACCAACTAAAGTAGAAGAACCAGTTGCTGTTGTTGAAGAAGTTAAAGTCGAAGAAAGCAAACCAGTAGAAGAGGCTGTTACTGAAGAACCAGTTGCTGTCGTTGAAGAAACCAAAGTTGAAGAACCAGCTGTTGTTGAAGAGCCAACTAAAGTTGAAGAACCAGTTGTTGAAGAAACTAAAGTTGAAGAACCAGTTGCTGTTGTCGAAGAAACCAAAGTTGAAGAGCCAGTTGTCGAAGAAACTAAAGTTGAAGAACCAGTTGTCGAAGAAACCAAAGTTGAGGAACCAGTTGTTGTTGAAGAAACTAAAGTTGAAGAATCAGTTGTCGAAGAGACCAAAGTTGAAGAGCCAGTTGTCGAAGAAACTAAAGTTGAAGAACCAGTTGTCGAAGAAACCAAAGTTGAAGAACCAGTTGTTGAAGAAACCAAATTTGAAGAACCAGTTGTTGAAGAAACCAAAGTTGAAGAACCAGTTGTCGAAGAAACCAAAATTGAAGAGCCAGTTGTTGAAGAAACCAAAGTTGAGGAATCAGCTGTCGAAGAAACCAAAGTAGAAGAACCAGTTGTTGTTGTCGAAGAAACCAAAGTTGAAGAGCCAATTGTTGAAGAAACTAAAGTTGAAGAACCAGTTGTTGAAGAAACCAAAGTTGAAGAGCCAGTTGCTGTTGTCGAAGAAACCAAAGTTGAAGAACCAGCTGTCGTTGAAGAACCAGCTGTTGAAGAAACCAAAGTCGAAGAACCAGTTGCTGAAGAAACCAAAGTCGAAGAACCAGTTGCTGAAGAAACCAAAGTCGAAGAACCAGTTGCTGAAGAAACCAAAGTAGAAGAACCAGTTGCTGTTGTTGAAGAAACCAAAGTTGAGGAGCCAGCTGTTGTCGAAGAACCAGCTGTTGTAGAAGAAACCAAAGTAGAAGAGCCAGTTGCTGTTGTTGAAGAAACTAAAGTTGAAGAACCAATCGTCGAAGAAACTAGAGTAGAAGAACCAGTTACTGTTGTCGAAGAAACCAAAGTAGAGGAACCAGTTGCTGTCGTTGAAGAAACCAAAGCCGAAGAACCAGTTGCTGAAAAACCAACCGAAGAAACTAAAGAACCAGCCACTGAACAACCAACCGAAGAAAATGCTGAAGAAAAAGAAGAAGAAGAAACTGAAGAACCAGCCGCTTCAGAAGAAAAAGTCGATGAAGCCTCATCAAAACCAGCCAATAATAATAATAATCAACCAAAGAAAAACAATAATAAAAAAGGTAAAGGTAAAGGCAAAGGTAAAAAGAAATAAGCTCACAACAAATATTCAAAAATAATTAATCAAAATATATACCCTCAAACAATACAAACCAATTTTTCGTAGATACCAATTTAAAATTTAATGGTTTTTAGAAAATCATCTTAATTTGCTCAAATAAATTTTATAATTTATTATTTTTTTTAAAAAGTCATAATTTTAATCAATCTTATTTCATTATTAAATCTTCTAAAAGTAGTGATTTTTATTGTTTACTACTTTTAGTTATTTTATTTTATCTTCAAAGAAGGGTGTGGGTGAAAAGAAAAATAAATAAAAAAAAAAAATTTATATTTTTATTTTTATTTTTTTTATTATTTTTTATTTTTTTTTATTTTTATTTTTTTATTTTTTGCATCCTTTTATTAAATTTAAAAATGTCATTAAATACAGATAGTAATAATAATTCCAAATTACCAAATTATATAATAAAGCCAATATTATATAATTATATTAATAAAGCAACATCCAATGTATTAGTGTTTGAAACTATATATATTATTTCACAAGTTTGCAAAGAATGGAGGGAAAATATATTACCAAAGTTAGTTTTCAAAAAGTTTAAAATATATACAGAGAATTCATTTTATCAGTTGTTTTTTATAATGACAAGATTTAATATCGATTTTCAATCAATTTCAATGGATTTAGAATTTTGGCCAAATATTAGAAAATATTTAATAGATAACAACAGCGATAGTGGTATAGATGATGAAATCAAATTTATAGATCTAGATGACAATTGTAACAAAGAATTAAAGAAATATTTTTACCAAAATAAAGAAAAAAGAAAAGGTTTTTTAAATGTTTTCACAGATAAGGTATGCTCTGCAAATTTATTGTGTTATTATTTTCAAGGTTATGAACTATTAGAATTCAAAAATCTCAAGAAAATTATAATATTCATTGATGACGAATATCCAATTCAATCATTCATCAAGGCATTATCAAGCATATTTGAAAAGGAAGGAGATAATAGGGAGTGGGTCAATAAAACATTAAAAAATATTCAAATTTATTCAGATGACAATATCGATTTTTCAGATTCAGTATTAAAAAAGTTTTTTAAAGGTCTTAAAAGTATCGAAGCTCTAATTTTCTCATCACATACAACCGTATCACTGAGAAATATAGTAAAGTTGTTAGATCATCAATCTGGAAATAACAATTTTAAGAGATTAAGTTTTAAGAATTGTTCAATCCCTAGAGAAGAGCTTTATCAACTATACGAAAGAAATCAAACGATAGAGTCATTAAAATTGGGCGGTATGCTAGAAAATGGTGCTTACAACGATGCAATTATTCCACTTTCAGGAGATTCAAAGATTAAAGAGTTCAGCCTCTTTAATGATTACCCAACTATATTGAACTTTTCAATTATTGCAAACGTTTTAAATTGTAACAAGGTTTTATCAGGTTTTTCAATTTACACAATTGTCAGTGATGATACAAATGAAATGGACAGTGTTGGCACAGATGGAGATGACAACGATATAGTTATCAAAAACGAAACATTGGCTTACCTAAGCCTATTAAGCAAAACCGATAGAATCATATTTGAAAAGGGCCAGTTCAATAATTTAAAGGGTTTAAAGTGCTCAATATCCGAAAAGATGATAAGGAATTTATCAATGAACAACAAAGAATCTTTAGAAAACCTTTTTGTATTCGATTCTATAGATTCATCATTAGAAACTAAAAAGAATTTCGAACTTTTAACAAGTGGCAGCGATGATGGTTCAGGCGGGTATTTAGGTCAATTTAAAAATTTAAAAACTTTCGAAATTTCATTAGAAGAACGGTCAAGTGTAGTAAATTGGGAACCTCTTTTCAAAAGTGTCACATCTCCCTTTATATTTTTAAACGAGCTAAGCATTTCATCATTAACTCATATCCAAGAGAGTTTAATATCAGATTTCTTTTTATCAAATCATCCAACCATAAAGAAAATAAGGCTATCTTTAAGATATACAGTCAAGGATTGGTCATTAGTTTTGGATCCAATTTGTAGAAACAAAACATTAACTAGTGTTCACATTAATTCCAATCTTTTAAATGGTTCAAATTATAATTGTACAAGATCATTCATCGACATTATTCAGCAAAACAACTCTTTAGAAGCTCTTACCATTTCAATTAGAGATAGTTTGCAATACACTCAATTAGATTTAAAGGACTTATCATCTGCAATTTTATCAAACAGTTCTTTAAAATATTTACAGTTCCCATACAATCTTAATAAAAATCCTTTAATTTTTAACTCAATAAAATATAAAATAATAAAAACAAATTATCATTTTAATTAAAAAAAAATTTTATGTAGTTTTTTTTATATTTTTATTTTTTTTAATTTATAAAAAATAAATAAATAAATAAATAAATAAATAAATAAATAAATATACCTAAATACTTTTTTTTAATATAATACTTTTTTATGTTAAAGTGAATAATCATTTGGTGTTAAATGTGTAATTGAAAGATCTACAATTCTTCCGGAAATATTTAAACATTGGAAATTTGAATCCATAAATTCTGATGATAATGTATTTAATATTAGATCTACACCTTGATAATCTTGGTCTCATTGTACAATGTTTTTAATTTGATGAACATAGTTTTTATTTCTTGATGAATAGATACCAGTAATAAATGATCCATATTTATTGATCAAGTATTCTTCTTTATCTTTTGAACCAACTGTTAAAAGTATATAACCTTTGTGTTGTTTAAACTTTAATAGCTCCAATGATTAAAGACCGACACCTCCTGATGGTGAGTGAATTAAAATGGTTTGATCTGTTTGTAAATTACCAGTATTGTATATACTGTGGAATGATGTAACATTAACTGATGGAATAGAGGCTGCTTGTATATGTGAGATATTTGTTGGTTTGTAATAAACAAATCTGTAATCGATTATAATATGTGATCCACTAGTTTTAGAAGCGACCTCAAATACTTCATTTCCAATTTCCAATTTCTTTACTTCTTTACCGCAACGATTAATGATACCATTTAAGTCATTTGATTTATAAATTATTATCCTTTTTTTATCTTTTTTTTTTATCCACTTTTATCCTTTTTTTTTAAATATTCCAAGTGATACAAAAAAGGATAACGCTAAAGATAATTTTCAACCACTATGAAATATATAAATAAAAAAAAAAAATTGTTTTTAAAATTTTAATAACTTTTATTTTAAAATGAATTTAATCTAATGAAAAAAAAAAACAAAAGAAATAAATACACAATAACACAATAGAAATAACTTTGAATATATTACATTATGTTTTCTAAAAAAAAATTATTTATGAGTTTATATTAAAATTTTTTTTTTTTTTTTCCCACCTTTTTTTTTTAGTTATAAATTATTTTTGGATGTTTTAATATTAAATAAAAAAACATTCAAATAAATCAATATATATAGGTAAAAAACTAATATAAATTATTTTTATTAATAAGCGGTCTGTTTAAAGAATTTTAATTATTTTTAAAAAAATAAAATAAATAAATATTAGTTTTAAAAAAATACCACATTAATATA